ATGCAAATTGCCCGTCCCTCCCGGTGCTGCCCTGTGGATTGTAGGCAGGGATTCTTGCTCGCTTGCCTGTGTAAGCTGAACTCTGAATTTCATCCATCCATGGCTAGGATCTCCCCCCCAGTGTGTATGTTCATGAGAGGTGGACTTGACAGGTCCCATGCAAAATGTCACAACAATGGGTTTGAGGGACAGTGGACTGGCCCCCTGCTGAAAATGTTTGCCGACCCCTCTATTAAAAGGTTCCTTGACCTATGTGATTCTACAGTAGATCAGGCATAGGCAAACTCGGCCCTCCAGATGTTTTGGGACTACAACTCCCATCACCCCTAGCTAACAGGACCAGTGGTTAAGGATGATGGGAGTTGTAGTCCCAAAACATCTGGAGGGCCGAATTTGCCTGTGCCTGCAGTAGATTCTCAGGCCGTGTTTCTATATCTGTCTGTCTGTCTGTCTATCTATTTTTTTATTAAATTTGTTTTACCATTTAAAATACTCATTTTACATCCTTAAGATATCAGTGACTTCCCTTCTCTTTCCATGGTTCATTTTACATATCATAAATCCCTGCATATTTTACAAAAACTATACCATTCAGTATTCCATTATTGCATCCATCAAAACTTATTTACACTGTTGATTTTATCTTAATGCTGCCAGAGTTTTCAGCTGTACACAATTCTTTCCCATATATTCTATAAACGTTTTCCAGTCTTCTTTAAACATATGTTCTTCTCAGGCCGTGTTTCATTCCAAATGCCTTGAACCTTCCGTTGAGCTTCACAGTATTGTTTTTTTAAAAGCATCATTCATAATTGCAACGTATTTTCCACTTGATGCCTAAAGCAATCTCATCGCTAAAAAGCAACAAAATGAAGAGGATGGGGCAGAAAATGCATTATGCCTGTCAGAGCCTAAGTGGTTAAAGTTGCTGGAGACATTCCCTTCACAGAGTCTATTTTAGACCTCTCACATTAGTTTGAAACAAAAGCAAGCAATGCGTATTTTGCTTCTGAGGATTCTCTTGCTAGCCGGGGTCTCAAGGTGACTTGTTTTGTGTATTAAAAAAGAAGAGAAGCTGCTGAGTGCTGGTTTTTCAGTCACGCTTGCTGGCAGAGCCTTTTCCATTTTGGCCCATTGTGGAAGCACTGAGAGTAACAATTCAGAATATAAACCTGACCATCTCCAACTGTGGCATGTTCCCACAGTGCTTCATGCCCTACGAAGCTTCTGGAAGGGCATCAAAGAAATTGCAGGGCAGTTTCTGTGATTATAAAAATGGCAGAATCCTGCTTTTTAAATTGCAAGTTGCTGCTGTGACCTGCTGTTCCCCCTTCAGATATTAACTGAAAAAATGAAAATATTCATAAAAGAAACATCTGGAACAACTGGAAGACTATGGTCCTTCACCTGCTGGCATTTTAGTGGGATTTCAGTGTGCAGAACTGAGTGCATGGTTGCCCTTTAGGAATTGTACGATTCGAAGTTTAACACTACTGTTAATCTGTCTCTATGAGTTGCATAAACTTTTGCTTTCGAACTCATTTTGAAAGGGGGCTATTCTCCAAAATGAAAGCATTAGAAACAGGAGGAGGGAGGATATTTGGAAATGTTGCATTGACTCTCAAATGAAAGTGATTACGATATTTATTATTTTAATTGAAGGCCTATAGGAAGATCTCTTTTTCAGCTTTGTGTGTCATATATTTATATATTTATGGTAGCTGATATTATACCTCTGTTCACTGAGTCTCAGTGAAAAGAAAGCTGTACTGTGTTAAGTTCTTAACAGTCCAAAGGTACCTGCATTCCTTTCACACACGTACTATGTGGGTTATCAGTCATATTTACCATTAGCCAACACGCACCTTTAGACCACACACACCTAGGGTGTAACAGGAAGCAGGGTGGTTGCTTTCTCTCAGGTATCAGGTTGCAATACTTGCTCTTCATAAGAGATGCTAAATATATTGCTGCCTCTGGCGGAGACTGAAATACCTGGATGCATGACTTGCAATAAGTTGGAGTCCTTAAAATATAGTTACTGTCAGTTTGCCACCTCAGGGTGGGGGGCAATCTCATGTTGAGAGAATAAACGGTCTACTTGTCACGGTCTTGGTGTGCATGTAGGGAGATCAAGTACCATTGTATTTACAGAACAGAAAAAACTTTGGGATGTGTAGACCTTGGGCTGTTGACCTTTACACTGGCATTCATAAATTGCATGAATCTGCTCATACTCCTCAGTTAGCATAGCCCTTTGGCTTTTGCATCATTGCATACTGCTGTTCAGCAAGTGGCAAAATAGAAAAGCCTCTGTCTTTCATAAATGGTGGTATATTCCTTTTTCTTGTCTATTTCCCTACATAGAAGTTATATACCGGTAGCAGATGGAACTCTTTAAATTCTATCTTCCATTCCCTTCATCCTTCAGAGGACTCATCAGAGCAATCTTTTATCCATGAATTCAGACTGCGGCAGTGGCAGGCCTAGTTTATATGGAGCACTAGGCAAAAGTATAAAACTGGTCCTACGGGATGAAAAGATGGGGTGTACACTGCTAAGCCCCACCTTCTCTCACACATGTTCCTGTATGCGCATGGCCAAGCTGTCCCATTTTCATGGAGTATTAAAACCTGTTTTAAAACTATGCACTTGCAAAATAACAACTATGGAGCCCTGAGGCAGGCATCTGTGTCTGAGGCTACGACATGCCTTGTCTCGGCATCCCAAAAAACCGGAATGAATTGTAGTGTAATGATTTCATGCCGTGGGCTGTTTAAAGAAATACATGTTAAGAGCCAAAGGGAATATATAAGCTGGAAGAGACCTTTATAGCTACAAGAAAAACTTGAAAGAATGGTCTACATTTTAGATGTGCTGATGTACTATTAAATGTTAAGGAAAATATGTTTCTTTTGAGCAGAATACCGACTAATGCCTTACAAGTCTCAGCAAAGCTGCAGAATAACTACATATGGAGCCACGTGGCTGTAGCCCTCTCCTCACCTGAGCTGTCACCTGCCCATGACATCACAATTTCACTTCCCAGCAAAAGGCTGCCCCTACAGCAGCAGCAGGTGGTGAGGGAAGGCTCAAAATACTAAAGTGTATTTCTTCTTAACATTGATTCGTCACTTCTTTTATTTCTGCTTAAATTTTGCACCAACACAGTCTTAAGGTTAATAGCAAAATGATCGTGAATTATGACAAATCCAGTTATTCACCCAAGCTGGTAAGTACTGTACTGTATGAGAAGAATCATAGCTGTTAACTGAACTCTAGTTTAGATGGCGCTCAGTGGTGGAACCAGATTTCTTAAATCAGCAGTGCAGTGCTAAACATATCTCACTGAGTTGAGTGGGGCTTCCGAACTGGGTACAGTGGTACCTCGGGTTACATACGCTTCAGGTGACATACGCTTCAGGTTAGACTCCGCTAACCCAGAAATATTACCTTGGGTTAAGAACTTTGCTTCAGGATGAGAACAGAAATCGTGCTCCGGCGGTGCAGCGGCAGCAGGAGGCCTCATTAGCTAAAGTGGTGCTTCAGGTTAAGAACAGTTTCAGGTGAAGAACGGACCTCCAGAACGAATTAAGTACTTAACCCGAGGTAACACTGTATAGTATTGCAGTCTAAGAATACATGCCTTACCTTACTGACATCAAAGGATGCACATTCTCTGATATAAAAAAAACTGAATCTGTGTCAGTAGACTACACTGCAAATTACGCTGGACGCAAATTACGTGATTTGTGTTCAAGCTGCCCTAGTACTGGAAAGGTACAGTTAAGGTTTGATTTATCTCTTCATGGAAGGCCTGTTCTCAATCTCTAGAACAGGATGAAAGCTAGTTTATATGTAAGAATTATTCTGGACAGGGATATTCACTGTTTGCTTTTGTTTACCCATCCCAGTTTCTTCCACTAGTTTTGAAGTCTTTGCTGTTTTTATTTCTCCCCTTAACCAACCTACAACGCAAAGGGTCTTCAGTCCCCAGTTCTTATGACTTAAAAAAGAGAGTTTGACACCTCTGTTCTAATGTACCCTTCAGAGCTTAATATACACCTGTCTCTTGACGTCTGATCATTAATTGTTTCAACTATGTAGAGCTCTTGGGACCTCACCTGCCCTTTCAGTTGTAAGTAGCCGGATTAGCAACCAAGCCACTGTTTGCTGTGATCTTAATAGGGGACCAAAGAGTTCATTTTAATCAAGCATTTCTGACAGAAGTTCAGAGTGCAGCTGGAAAGCACTTACTTACAATCCCCAGGGTTCAAAGTATTTTAAGTCTGGATTTTAAAATCTAAAGTCTGAAATAGAGGTGCAAATGTAGTGCGGTGGGTTTGAGGTCCTTTGCAAACCATAACTATTACTCACTGTCAAGGGAAAGATGATTCATCTTGGTAGGAATAACCTTGTTGTTTCTAGGTATCATTGCAGTTTATCATTCCCTGCATCCTCTCCCTAAAGTGTGATGGGAAATACCCATCAGTTTAAAGCACCACATCCAGGGGGAAGCTGATTTAGGACATACTGCTCCTGGTTAATCTCTCTTCCTGTGCTCTCACCTGTGGTTTTCTCCTCCCCACCATCCTAGCCCTGGTCAAGGATCCCTGCTTGTCAGTGCAGATGAAAATGCAAAGTGTTTTTGGATGCAAAGTTATTGCCTGTTTGGTTGATGTGTCTTAGGAATGAACTTGCTAAATCTAACTGCACAGATTGTGAGCTTCAGGAGTGTTAGAATCAATTTCTGGAAGAAGAACAGACCATCCCCTCCTAACATGCAGGAACTCGAGAGCCTGATGCTGTGCATAGCAAAGAGCAAGATTCTGCCTGAATCGCAAAAATCTTGCCACACCTGCTTGCTAAAACAAGTTCTTTGTGCATTCTTTGTACCGAAAAATGGAAGAGGAGCTGACAGGATTATTCTGGGGACATTGTTTTGGGCAGTAAAAATATTTCAGCTAAAAAAAGATAAACTTTTATGTATTTCTTTTTAGTTCTTCGCCAAAAGATATGGACGAAGAGCAGCCTTTGTCTCCTTGCGATCAGAATCCTAAAGAAGCAGTACGGAAACGGCAAAATTCTAGTCAAGGTTCCCGGGGCAGCGATTCTTCCAGAACATCCAGAAAAAGCTTCAGACTGGATTATAGGTTGGAGGAAGATGTAACAAAATCAAAGAGAGGTAAAGATGGGAGGTTTATCAACCCCTGGCCAACATGGAAACCTCCATCTTTCCCAAATATTATGAAATGGGCTCTTACGGAAAAGGACAACAGCAAGGTCCCATCTTCAAAGCAGGTAAGTTCTATTCATCTAGTTATGTTTGAAGCACTCTCAATACCACTTCATGTAAATTACTTGTTTACCAGTAAGTCAGAGATTTTGGAAGTATATATTACGTGCAGTGGTGTTGCGTGGGTTGCTGGTGCCCGTGGCGTGGCAAACGTTGCATCCCTCTGGTGGGTTGGGCAACTGGGGTGGAGACGCGCAGTGGGGGGGGGGCAAGTAAATAGAGAATGTGGTAAATAGAGAAATAAACTATCTGTGCTTCCAGACTGTTGCTATTTTCAGGTAGGATTCAATCACATACTGGTAAATTTAGGTTGTGCAATTATAGTTGACTGGGATGTCTTGCACAAAAAGCCCACTTCCCCCCAAAAGCAGACTTTTCGTAACAGAAAAATTACTGGAAAGTGTGGGATAACACTGCCTTTGTCACGTCACCTAATCAAAGCATAACTTAAGAGCTCATCAACATTGCACCATAGAGCCCAGATAAAACAAATTCTGTGGCAGCCAAGAGTTGAAGGCAGCCTTGTACATGGATTGCCTGTCTACTAGTAGATCTCTGAGGGATTTGCAGTAGATCAGCAAGGATTCTGACTCTCAGTTGTTTAACAATAGCAACTAAAAGGCTTTTCTCCTACATTACCCTACAACTGGGTTTGATTTTTGAGTGACAAGACTGGGAGTATAGTTCTGGTACTGAAAATGAATTCCTAGCCTTTGTATAAGAAGGCAGAGTTGAGTTGCAGCTTTAATTTTATGCTGGCAGTGCATATGCAGTAATTTTGTAGCAGTGCTGAAAAAGCACAGGATGCTGTATTTGCTGTAAAATTCATTATTCTGAGAGTTTCAGTCTTTTTTTTTAACACAGCACTTTTCTTAGTTTATATCATTACAGTAAGCATTGCATGTAAGCAAGCATAGCTTTGCAATAACAGACGTTTGCTAAGGTGGATGAACACGTAGTTAGGAGTGGGATTTGAATTCCTTGAGTAGTTACTTGCCCCTTCATTCCAGCAAAACTAGAACGAATAATTCAGAACATTACAGATGGAAGAATAATTTCCCGGGACACGGGGAGATTTTTAAATGCAGGTCGGCATAAATTAAGCACACCACCCCATACACAATTACTAAAAAACAAACTATAAACACGTTAATTTTAAAACTGCTTTCGAGATCTTACTCCCGACTTCCCGACCTCCCCATTTCTGCATCCCGTTTTACGGAGATTTCTTCAGCGGACCCTCACTTCATTTAACGATTACTCATTTTCTTTTTCCTTCTTCTCTTACCAATTTTACAATGCTGGGGTTCTGTTTTTCATTACCCTTCGACTTTAGCCACTCAGATTTTATAACAGTCGACCTTACCTTCAGGCGGGGGAACTGCAGGCCTGGGTAGCAAAGACTTTTGCCCCCCGCCGGCCTTCAGAAGAGGTCCTCTTCTGAAGGCTGGCTGTGGGCGAAAGTCTTTGCTCCCGACCGCCAGCATTTCCCTATGGGCTTTCGTCTTGCGATGCAAGCCCATAGGGAAATTCGTCTTGCGAAGCGCCTCCAAAACAGAAAACCCTTTCGTCTTGCGGGTTTTCCGTCTTGCGAGGCATTCGTCTTGCGGGGTACCACTGTAGATCATTTCCCAGAAGGCCTTAATCCTCGGGCATGTCCACCAAAGGTGATAGAAAGTACCTTCAGTCTCATTACATTTCCAGCATATATTATTGGGCAAATGATAGATTTTTGCAAGCTTGACTGGGGTCATGTACCACCTATAAATCATTTTCATAATATTATCTCTTAAGGCATTGCATGCCGTAAACTTTATACCGGTGGTCCATAACTGTTCCCAGTCAGCAAACATAATGTCATGACCAATGTCTTGTGCCCATTTAATCATAGCTGTGTTAACTGTTTCAACAGCAAGTGGAAGAATAATTTTCAATTTTTGCAGCAGTGTGTACATGCATCCCTTGTGTATCCTCTAAAGCCCTAAACAGTTCAGGCACCGGGTCCCTTTGAGATCTATTCTCATGTGTTCCATTATGATACCTGAGATCTACTGAGAACATGTTTTTAATTAGGCCTTCTCTGTCAGATTCAGATAGCAAGGCTGTGCAATATGACAGTGTCTCCTGCTGTATATTCGCCCAAATTCATGTCAAAACTCCTTAGCAGATGTCCCTGTTCTTGGCTAACCTTCGGAGATCAGCATCAAATTAGAAAATAATGGTGAAATGTTGTTCTTTGCTACTGCAGAGAGCAGGGCTAGATCTAATAGGCTTAAATTACAGAAGGAAAGACTTTGGTTGAATATGAGAAACTTTTCAATGGTGAGAGCAGGTTGAGAAGTGAGGGGGAGGGGGCTCTCCTTTGCTGCAGGTCTATAAACTCTTAAACGACTCAATACATCAAGGACCACCTCTCCCCATAAGAACCAACCCAGATCCTGTGATCATCATCGGAGGTCCTTCTTTGTGTGTCTCCTCTGCGAGAGGTCTGGAGGATAAGCAACACAAGAACAGGCCTTTTCTGTGGTGGCTCCTCATTTGTGGAATGCTCTCCCCAGGGAGGCTTGCCTGGCACCTTCATTACATATCTTTAGGCACCAGGCAAAAACATTCCTCCTCTCCCAGGCATTTGGCTAATGAAACAATCTATGCCCTTTTAAACTGGGAGGTGGGGCAGTCTTGTTTCATCATCATCATCATCATTTTATTTGTATGCCGCCTTTCCATAGTTAAAACAATGCTCAAGGCGGCTTACAACATGACAAGATTTACATAATTACCAACGTAACAAAAGTCATAACCAATAAATAAAACGCATCAAAAAGTACACAACCAAATGGAAAACAATTTCCATATAAATCATAAAATCTAATACTAAAAATACAGCGTTGATATAAATCACAATTTAAAATGACATACATAAAAAAGAAAAGCAATTTTTTAAAAATGGAGTCCTTTCTGCCCAGCAGCAGCAGCTGCACTCCTCCGTGGAGCCTGGAGAGAAGCCAGGTGGAGAGAAGCAGGGCAGGGCCCTATAATAAATATTTTTGTGTATTTATATTGTAAGCCACCCTGTGATCCTTAGATGAAGGGCAATATACAACAACAACAACAATTTGGAATGCCCTTTGTGTTTGGGAAATGATTTTCATGTTTACTGTTAGTTGTTGGTCATCTCTTTTCTCAATGTTATCTGTCAGTGTTATCTGCAAGCAGAGTTGGACCTTCACCCTCCTATAATACTTCCCTTAACCCAAGCTGCAAGCAAAACTCGTTACCTTGAAATACCAAGGGTGATTCATGCACATAAACAGGGTTCCTTATGTACAACTCGTGCAGATCTGCATCATGCTAATCTGAACTGGATGGATGCGTCAGATGCAAATGATTCTTGTCATTGTGCACGTTTCTCGTGTGCTGGAAGTCTTGCAAATAGAAACCTAGCAAAGCAGGGAGGAGGCTGGCCGGCACCCTTCCCCCTGCTGTGCTGTTTACATTTACAAAGCCTCCTGTGACTCGTGATGCAGAGCCTATGTGTCACTTCCTTTCTGGCTGCCATTGGCTCAGTTGCTTTGAAGTCACTAAGGGCCTGGTAGACAACTGATGGCTTAGTTGCATTGAGGAAATATTTGATGCTCAAGTCCATGAGCAGCATTGGTCTACACTAAATGATGTTCAAGTGTATTTATACCATGGACTTTAATATTACACCTTGTTGGTGTAGAGCAGGCATCCCCAACCTGCGGCCCTCCAGATGTTTTGGCCTACAACTCCCATGATCCCTAGCTTACAGGACCAGTGGTCAGGGATGATGGGAATTGTAGTCCAAAACATCTGGAGGGCCGAAGGTTGGGGATGCCTGGTGTAGAGTTAACAAGGCTTTCTGCCTCAAGGGTCCAAGATGGACGAAATACTTGCTGCTTGTAAGCCAGGTGTGCTTTCTAATTTTGTGTCCTTGGTTTATTTTGCTAGGAACTTGACAGAGAGCTTCCAGTACTGAAACCTTACTTTGTTCAAAACCCCGAACTAGCTGGAAAAACCGGAGCTGGTATGCGAGTAACATGGCTTGGACATGCTTCTGTAATGGTGGAAATGGATGAACTTACACTTCTTACTGACCCCATCTTCAGCCAGCGGGCCTCTCCAGTGCAATTTGGAGGACCTAAGCGTTTTAGAGGACCTCCGTGTACTGTAGATCAACTCCCCAAAATAGATGCAGTGATGATCAGCCACACTCATTACGACCACTTGGACTACCACTCCGTAATAAATTTAAATAGTCGCTTTGGCAGTGACCTGAGATGGTTTGTGCCCCTGGGTCTTTTAGACTGGATGCAGAAATGTGGCTGTGAGAATGTAATTGAGCTGGACTGGTGGGGAGAAAACTGTGTTCCTGGTCATGACGCAGTTACGTTTGTTTTTACTCCTGCCCAACACTGGTCCAAGAGGACTGCAACAGATGACAACAAAGTTCTCTGGGGAAGCTGGTCTGTCTTGGGGCCCTGGAATAGGTTCTTTTTTGCCGGAGATACTGGCTATTGTGTTGCATTTGAGGAGATAGGGAAGCGATTTGGACCTTTCGATCTTGCAGCTATTCCCATTGGAGCATATGAACCAAGGTACGTAAGCCAATAAACTGGAGCCTGTGACCCAAGATACAAAACCAGTTGTAGTTTTATATACAGCACCAACAATGTGTAAGATGTGCAAAACACAGGCAGTGTCATAGCCATGTTGGCCTAGCATGCCAAATCACTCCTTCATTCCTCCTCTAGTGTGAGCAGTAACAACAAACCACAGACCTTGGCTTATCATGACAGCTGGCTTGCTTGCTTGCTTCCTTCCTTCCTTCCTTCCTTCCTTCCTTCCTTCCTTCCTTCCTTCCTCAACCGCAACTGTGAAGCCAAGAACAGTTGACTTCAGATTACGGTTTACGTATTTGGAGAGAAACAACCCATGACCGCTGTTTTGGACATCACAGAAAACCAAGGTTCTTGGTTTGTTACTTGCATGAAGGAAGAAGGGCAGTGGGAGTGATACATGCTGCGGATTTATGTTAAGCCATGGTTTATGGCATACTATGTCATCTGAGGGACGCAGGTGGTGCTGTGGGTTAAACCACAGAGCCTAGGACTTGCTGATCAGAAGGTCGGCGGTTCGAATCCCCGCAACGGGGTGAGCTCCCATTGCTCAGTCCCTGCTCCTGCCAACCTAGCAGTTCGAAAGCACGTCAAAGTGCAAGTAGATAAATAGGTACCGCTCTGGCGGGAAGTTAAACGGTGTTTCCGTGCGCTGCTCTGGTTCGCCAGAAGTGGCTTAATCATGCTGGCCACATGACCCGGAAGCTGTACACTGGCTCCCTTGGCCAATAAAGTGAGATGAGCGCCACAACCCCAGAGTCGGTCACGACTGGACCTAATGGTCAGGGGTCCCTTTACCTATGTCACCTGAACGGGGCCAATGAAAGCTCACAGTCTTAAAGACAGGCAGGAGGAAAGGCTAGATCTTAATGGGCAAGAGGTAGGTGAAGATTGGCTGCCAGTTTTGCATTACAGGAAAACTAAATGTGATTGAGATGCCTTGTGGAAGATGGGAAATTAGAATGATTGAGATGCAGCTTAACAGATAAATGAGCAATCTCTTTTAGCAATATGGGAGAAGGGAACAAATTGGGCCAGTAAGAGGAAAAGCTATGCAACAGATTGAGGAGAGCAGTAAAGGAACCTTAACTTGGCCAGTGCATGTCTGTGTAACAGGCAAGGAAAAATGCTCTTTCCCTCTTTGGTAGGTGGTTTATGAAATACCAGCACGTGGACCCCGAAGAAGCAGTAAGGATTCATATTGATGTACAAGCAAAGAAGTCTGTTGGAATTCACTGGGGAACCTTTGCTTTAGCAAATGAGGTAGGTGTGAACTAACCATTTGTGCTGCTGCGGATGTCCATTCAAAAGAGTAGCATCTAGAACTGCCTGTTCCAACCTGATAGCAGAAATATCCTTTCTTCTGACTTAAAACAGAAAGTATCATTCACTTACATCCCGGAGTTTTAGTGTATGGGAGAACTGCACATCCTCTGTGTTTTTATGCTGTGTCCCCTGACTGGAAGGAACATTATCTCAAGAAGAACTGCAGTAGGCAGCATCCTCTGAGGAAAGATAATTCTACTGCATCTCTGTATCAGGTGTGATTAAGTGATCTAATTACATCTGATGCAAAGAGGCAGCAGAATTACCTGCCCTCCGTGGAGACTAATTGGAAGGAGGCAAGGACAGAATAGTGGGCTGTTTCCTCTGCAGGTGTGTAATTTTGAATGGAGATTTAGTTTGAATGGATTTTTGGTATAGGAGCTCCAACCATAGCTGTCAACGGTTTCCCTTTTCTTGCGAGGAATCCTATTCAGAATAAGGGAATTTCCCTTTAAAAAAGGGAAATGTTGGCAGTTAGTTGGAGCCTCCAACCAACTTAACTATATATAAATAAGAAGTCATGTAGTGTTATAATTTTTTATTATGGACCATAGCAGTTTTCAAGGTGTTTCAAATGCTTCAAAGAAAATGGCCTCTGATCTTAGTATTATTTTATAGGCTGTCAATTTTAGTTCTGAAGACAGTCGATTCTCTATACAACTAATTGTGTATTGTCAAAGCTAGGTTTCCCCCCTCAGTTTTTAGTTTGACTTAAATTTTGCTTAGTAGTAAGTCTGAATGTCTTACAGATACTCTGAAGCAAACTACTAAAGAAACAATGACAAGGGTGCTTTAAGAGATTGTCTACAGATTAGTTGCTCTGTCTTTATGGACTGAATTAATAGTTGCTTTGTGTTAAAGTGACAAAATCATTGGAGGCAATTTCACTTGGTATGAAACTGGTTTTCCTGAATGTGTAACAAAATCATATCTTATCAGTATGCATAGCATATTATATCAGCATACATATGTGCCAGTACCCCAACGTTCTTTGACATTCTAGCATAATGAAGAAACTAGCCCCCAGTCACCCAGAGAAACCCAGCTAGATGTGTGGGGTATAAATGATAAAATTATTATTATTATTATTATTATTATTATTATTTACTGGCCAACAACACAGGATGATGCTCTGCAGATGAAGGGGCTGAGCATATAAGACCGTGGTTGATTCTTAAAACTGGAATTAGAATCAGAAATCATTAATGTTTATGAAATCCCTGAACTTTTTGGTAGCTGCTTAAGAAGGATTCTGAACCCCACAGATCCCCCACATTTCATGCACTGCTAAGTACAGGGATTCAGAATGTTAACTAGTTCTGCTGGGAAATTTATATGTTAAAAAATTAAAAGGCCGGCCGGTAAGGACACTATTTAAACATTTACTGTCAAAAGGTGGCGTGCACAACTGGAGAGGCATCTCTGTCGTACAATTTATGATTAGGCCACTGGACTTTGATAAGTCAGTTGTAGCAGCCCAAGGGTTTTCTAGAATGTAGGCATTGTTTAATCCTCTCTGACACAGTTCTTTTCATTTACAAGTTTGCAGCAAGTAAATGTATTTTGATACAGTGGTACCTCGGGTTACAGACGCTTCAGGTTACAGACTCCGCTAACCCAGAAATAGTACCTCAGGTTAAGAACTTTGCTTCAGGATGAGAACAGAAATTGCACGGTGGCGGTGCGGCGGCAGCAGGAGGCCCCATTAGCTAAAGTGGTACCTCAGGTTAAGAACGGTTAAGTTCTTAACCCAAGGTACCACTGTATGTTCTTTCAAACTGGCGTTTGAGCTATTCTTGAATTTACCATGACTACAGTTCTCAATCTGCGGTTGCTACTTATTAGATAACTAAGAATAGTACTTTCCAAATGTGGAAAACTAATAACATATTGTGTTGAGTTAGGCTGTTTCTCTCTAAGGCGTTTTCCCTGTCTTGCCTTCAGTCCTTTAACTGGAGACTGAAAGTAGACCTGATGCAGAGCATATTCATCCTAAGAATGAGAGCCCTGGCTGGATAAGACTAAAGGCCTTTATATGCCTATGGGCAGGCTCACAAGCAGGGCACGAGCTCTGTAATGCCCTTCTTTTCATGTTTCTCAGTAACTGGTATGCAGAAGCATACTCCTGACTCATCACTGAGCTGTGGCCCCATGGTTTTCTAATATTTTTTTAGGAATATCTGCCTTTGTTGAGCACTTCATACTTTCCCATCAACTTAACTGGAAAGATTGTGCTCACAATCCATTGCATGTGATCATTCACCGGCATGAACCGAGGTTACAAATTGGTTCTGATATGTGCAAACAACTGCTCTCATGAACAGTTGTAATATCTAAGAAGTTTAATCATGGAAAACATAGCTTTTGTAAGCAGTGTGCAGCCCCAGAGTGCTCTGTCTGGACAAGTTACCGCAGCTGCACAGAGCAGTTGATTCATCCTGAAATAGCAGGATCAGTTCAATAACACTTGTTGCCAAGGTATGCTTCAAGGGGGTAACCCCATTCAGAGCTTAACAAGGACTTCAGCAGGAAAAGGAAAAGTCTTATTGGATTTCAGTGGAACCAGAATTCCCCTTAAATTTGCAAGACTAAAGTAGTCATACCTATCTATGAAGCTGTTTCACAACAGGCTTATCCAGTCCTGACTGCTTGTTTTCTCCACAGTATTACTTGGACCCTCCTGCTAAACTGATGGAAGCTCTAGACAGATACGGACTGAAAACTGAAGATTTCTTTGTCTTAAAGCATGGTGAATCACGAGACTTAAATATTAACGAGGATGGATTTGAATAAAAATGGGGGGAAATCGATTTCTTATCAATTGTATCTGGGGGTGGGGGAAGCAATTAAGGTTGATACCTTTTTGTAAAATTTTGAACAGGATTTTTAAGATTTCAGGAGTTTGCATACCAGCCTTATAAAATTGCAAGTTTTTAATAAATGAATGAAATAGCACTTGATAGCATTAACTTAGCTGCACATGCCGTGTACATAAGGAGTTAATTGCATTGCCTGTGAAGTCATTTCACCTCTTTAAAACCAGTGCAGGTCACCTGCTAGAGATTAACTAGGCCACAATCCATAAGACCCAAGAGGACCTGTGAACTCAAGGCTTTCTTGACATAGCAACCCTCCCTCCCTCACTGAACTGCTAAGTGCTTTAACCTTCCCTTTTTAAAAATCGGATTTCTGGTTTAAAAAGTGGGGGATTACACTGAAAAACAAGGCCTACATACACATGAAGATTTGGAGCACAGAGAGTGTAACCTTCTGTTAGATAAAGTGCTTGTGTATAGAAATTGGTTTCTGCATGCATTTGACTGCAAGTCTGCTATAGTAAAATCTCCCATTGGCAATGGCCTTCAGGCCAGGGGCTCATATGCACACTAGTTTACCATATGCATTGATGTGCTTGTGGGACCCCTTCCTGCCTTGGAGTGTGGTGGGAAGAGCATAGTTAAGGCACTCCATCATTTCCACCAATGATCTGATCAACAGGCATTGGGTGGAATTAGAAAACTGCAGGTAGGTTTTCCTGAAAATGATGGTATGTGTGCATTCATATACCTGGAAGGTCTTGCTGAAATACCATTAATTTTTGGCAGGTGATTAGGATCGAAACCTTCATTTGCATACATCCCACTATCCTGTGAAATAGACACACTTTCTAATCTTTAGCATCCTTACTCAGATGCCAAGCCTGCAGTGATAGAACCAGTATGCATGTTTCAGATTGCATATTTTACAGCAGAATCCTAACCATGTCTACTCAGAATCAAGTCCTATTTAATTCAGTGGGACTTCCTTCCTCATAAGTGGGATTAGGAGCACAGCCTTAGCTACTATTGTTTAACATCAGAAAGGGCTTGGGTTGTTGGTTGTTTTTTGGATTAGGCTAAAATCTGAAATGATCTAGTTCAGGGCAGTCCAGCATGCATCCTGAGGGCTGCATGTGTCCCTCGAGGCCTTTTTAGCGACATTTGATGCTCCCCCCCCCCCCCCGCAGCCCTTGTGCTGCCTTCCCAAAGTCAGGTAAGTGAGGCACTGGGCTTTGGGAAGGAGGCATGAGGGCTCTGACTGGGTCCCAGAATCCTCCCTCCTCCTTCGCAAAGCATAGTTAGCGCTTTCCCAGCTTTGGGAAGAAGGTGGGAGTTCTAGGACCCTGTCAGGGCCTCATGCCTCCTTCCCAAAGCCTTGCACCTTTCTTATTCGGCTGTGGGAAGGCAGCAATGAGAAGGTGTGATGGGGACCAAATTTTGGCCTGTGCAATAAGGTAGCGTGTGGCCTGCGGGTTCCGTCTCAAAGTACTCTTGCAGCCCACTTGGTGTAAAATGTTGGGTTGTGCTGGTCTACTTAAAGATCCTGAAACTACCCCGATGGAAGTGGTTTTGAGTTTTACAACCAATGCAGTAGCCACATGGAAAATGTTTTGAGTACTGCAGCATTAGTGTGAATAGTCCCAGCCCATTATCTCCCTTGAGCAGAATGATCAGTTAGAGAATGTGCCCTGTGCCTTCGTAGCTGTTGGAAATTAAGAGGATTTTTGATGGTGTCTTCCAACACAACTAGTTGCTAAAAGCACATTTTGAACAAAACACTGACTTTACTGAATGCTTGTACATTTTCAATTGCAAATGTAAGAGCCAAGTTTTGAAATTATAAAATGTGCCTTTTCAAAGAGTTCTAACTACAAAAAAAATGCCTATTTATGTTGCTGCTGGCCAGAATCTCTGTACACTTTGCATTGTGTTGTCACTGTGAAATTGTTCTAGCACAGGCCTGAACACTTCTTGTTTTGAGAATAAGCAAGCTGCATGTAACTGGAAGCGTTTGTTCTCTGAAATCTTTATTCAGCTTGTTTTGTTTGTGCTTGCTCCCTGCCGCCAACTGTGGGCTTCAAATGAATTGGTTTGTCAGAATGATGTGGAAAAACATATACAAATTGCTTATAACAATTTAAAAGCATGATATTAATTTGTTCAACATTGTAAAAAATGGCCAATTATACATGTGTCAAACTAGTAAAACTAATTTACAAAATAAAGATTTCTCTTGCTCAGAAGTAGTCATATTATTGAATAATACTTTTGAGTATGTTATGTTAATATGATCACAATAAGAAATAACCACACTCCTTTTTCTCTCCCAATTTTTCTTTAGTAGGATTTACCTCCAGCTAAAGAATAATATTCAACATACTATTTGCAGTTTTACATCACTACATAATTGTGTTTGCTGTGAAATCTATTCTCTTTTAATACAAAATGGGAGAGTACTATGGCACCGCATTTGAAACATACTTTTTCATTTAATTGCTACTTTACATTTTATTCAGGTATATGGGTTTGAGCTACTAAAACACAAATGCAATGAATTATGGCTTTTGGTACACTGATGTTCACAGCTCACTTGTTGGAGGACTTAAGTTCATCTTTAAGATACTGGGCAGTAACATCCTTTTGTGACTGATGAAATCTGTCATAACCAGGCTGCAAGATTTCTACCTCGAGTATAAACTCAACCATACATAAATCTGACCATCTTTGCAAAACAAAAATAAATTCCTTCCAGAGGTGTAAATTTAATTGCAAGCTATTCTTTTTAGAGGGCTTAAATAGTAGATAAAAAAGCACAGTTTGATTATCTTAATACTCATTGTACTGGTATATAAAAACAGGGTACGGGAGACAGCAATGCCAACACATTACAAAACATTGTATGCTCATTGTAAATGCTGTTATACCTGTTGCACCCTTGCAGCTTGCTATACACAAGCTGTTCCTCATACATTTCAATAGAGGAAGTAGTTCTACCCTTATATGGAGTTTTCTCCATATTTACATATGGAACTCACATACAGCCAAAATATTCTTGCATCAGGTTTTCTCAGCCCTAAGAAGATAGTATAAATGTTTTAATTGATCTTGATCTATCTATCAAGGCAGTGTACAAAAATATACAAATATACAAACTGAATAAAACATAAGACACCACAAAATAGCTATAAGAATAGCTGGCTCATCTTTAAAATAATTAAATGTCTGAACTGAAAATAAATGACTTAAATGTCAGCATTTTTTAAAAAAAGTCTGAGACACCTGAAAAGTAGCAAGGATGAAACCAGCAACACAAAATGCCTAACTCCTATTTGAAGTGAGTTGGACTCTTGAGACACAGCTTTAAATCAAAACATGCAAAGTTATGGCTGAAGCATTTCTACAGAAATTAGCTCTACACAAATTGTATTTAGTAACATAAATGAACAGTCCTGATCTACAGCTTCATGTGAATTCTACCATGTAATGCTTTTCCATTGAGGTTGAAAGTAGTTTCATACATGCAAGAAGTTCTACTTCTTTTCTTCCTGTTCCATGAACATATATATAGTGTGAGTCCTACATTCATAAGCATCAGCTTAGGCTTTTGCATCCGGAATTTGATTTTGAATGGAGGCTTTTAACGATTTCCAGTTTCAGCACCGCTGCATTATCAGTTCTGCCACTTGCTCTTTTACTTCCGTGTCATGATGGTACAACAAAGAGGTTAGTTTCTGAGCACACTCTGTAGTATTCCCCCAGAGTACAGAAAAAATTGAACCTTCATTGTGATGATGGACAGTAATACTCTTGTCCTTTTGCGTAAGTTTTATTAAGTTTGTGGCAAACACCAGGACCCTGAGCAAAACTTCTTTGTTTATGCAGGCGTCAAACAGGGATAATAAGAAGGGTGCCTAGAGAATTAAACAAACAAGAAATAGTTGTTTGTAGGCATGAAAAAATAAGTGAACATACATCTTTTTAGGAAATATCATATGCATCACTTACCCGCCGTCATGGGCTCTAGTAATTTACTAGCTTCTGAACTTCCCTATGCCAACCCAAAATAAAATTTTGAGCACCATACACCTCAGGCATTCTCCAGCTACTAACCTGGAGTATTCCTTACCTCTGCTCACTCAGCTATAGCTGTTTTAACCTTTAAAGCCCTATACGGCCTAGGACCCTCGTACCTACGGGACCGCCTCTCCTGGTATGTCCCACAGAGGAACTTACGGTCTTCAAACAAAAACATCTTGGAGGTCCCAGGCCACAGAGAGGTTAGGCTGGCCTCAACCAGAGCCAGGGCTTTCTCGGTTGTGGCTCCGATCTGGTGGAACGCTCTGTCGCAAGAGACCAGGGCCCTGCAGGATTTGACATCTTTCTGCAGTGCCTGCAAGACAGAGCTGTTCCACCAGGCCTTTGGCCAGGGCACAGCCTGACTCCCTCCTTTGGCAATCTTCACAGAACTCTAGCCCAATGGTTGCCATCAATTTGATCTGAATTAATTTTATAATGAAATGATTTTAGAATGTTGTCTTATTTTATTGTTGTTAGCCGCCCTGAGCCCGGCTTCGGCTGGGGAGGGCGGGATATAAATAAATTATTATTATTATTATTATTATTATTATTATTATTATTATTATTATTTCTTCAAATAGTAATTGTTGAAAGAAGCATAAAAAGTAGCATTACCTGAGCATTAAGGAGATGTTCCGTCATAGCTGGGTTTGCTGATAAATTCACAAGCACTTTTAGAACTTGCACCTATTAATATAGGGGGAAAGTTAATTTTAATAATATACTTTGGATTTAACACAACACATAAAATAAGCAGGAAATATTAGGAACACATATTACTAATTTACTTATCAATAAGATTTGCAAGCACAACTTACAAACTGCAGGCTAGGAGATCATAAAACAAAAAAATTAGATCCCACTTTTTCTGGCAGTTCAACATGGTGACAAAACCAAAATTATAAGGAGAAAAAATAGCAAAATAATATAAACACAGAAAGGGGAGCACAGAAAGGGGGGTTTGCAGCACCAAACCAGCACACCACTTTGGGACCAGTCTGTAGTCAAGCAGACAGAGTTGAGTTTGGGGGTAAACCTATGAGCCCTGGTTTGACTGTCAATTACTCAGTCTGGAGGGCACTGCAGAAAGCAGGGTTTGTGGCACAAAACTAGCACCAAACTTTGACAACAGTTGCGGGGGGGGGGGGGATCTGGAATTTTGGGGCCACACATTAATGAAACTTGCATAGTACTCAGCGGAAACACAAAGTTAATCTGAGCTGTCAAGTGTAAACTGACCCCAAAGCTGCAATGCAGCAGGACTAGTGACAGCAACCTTATTCTTCTAGGAGCTTATCTTATTTGCACCTATTCTTAATTTAAAATCTACATCCATCTTTCAGAAGTATAAATCTATCCTGAATTCTCAGAGAATCCTGTTTTGTTCTAATAATGTGTGCTTCTGTAATCTAAAGAAGAAACATTCAGAACTGTTCAAAACAAGCTCTGCTGTTATTTTCACTCAAAGTAAACAGGCTGAGAGTGATAGAGAGCCATCTTGTGGCGCCCTTAACTTACAAAGGAACAGGGAATGGAGTCCTGCTAAGGTCTTATGAATGACCAATAAGCAATTGTTTTAATGCTCTGGTTCAAATCCCTTTTCTAATTGGAGTTTTTAAAAAAATTGAGTTGGCTCTGGAGTTCAGAAACCTAAATGGTCCTACTCCCTCACTTTTTAAAAAGAGGTGAGGAAAGAAAAATCAGCTAAAAACATTTTCTACCCCCTTTAACTTATGTGCATGACTACTATTAATTTTCAAAGTAATTTAAGACACAGAGAATTAAAGGACAAGAAAAGCAGAATCCAAAAGATTTTCCTCCTAACAAGATAGAGCATCTTATGGTACCTGTGTTCTTTCATTTCCTTCCAAAAGCATATGAAGAAAGCATGGTATGAAGCTTGTCATCATGTAATGATAGTCATTGGTAACAGACATATTGGTTAAAAATCGAAGCCCAGCCAGCTGAAGTTCAGAGTTCAAGGGAGATGAATCTGTCTCCTCACAAACTATGGTAATATATATCTTAGGGAGGGAAAAACAAAAACACGATCAGAACAAACCACTCCCAGTGATAATCCCACTGTTATCATTAAAAACAAAATATTATCGCTGTTGAACACAAATTTTGAACAAGTAAGCAAAGGTAGCGACAAAGTACCTTTTTTTAACATGAGGAATAGCAAATGCTGCTAATTTAAACAATTGGCAAAACCTTTTATCACAATAATCCTTCCGTTAACAACATATTCTAAATGTAGAGTTATCGTTTTTCTTCTCTGCAGATGTTTAAAGTATTGTTAATACCATATACAGTGGTACCTTGGGTTACATACGCTTCAGTTACATACGCTTCAGGTTACAGACTCCGCTAACCCAGAAATAGTACCTCGGGTTAAGAACTTTGCTTCAGGATGAGAACAGAAATTGCATGGCGGCAGTGGGAGGCCCCATAACTAAAGTGGTGCTTCAGGTTAAGAACAGTTTCAGGTTAAGAACGGACCTCCAGAATGAATTAAGTTCTTAACCTGAGGTACCACTGTATGCTCGAGTATAAGCCGACCCAAATATAAGCCGAGGCACCTAATTTTACCACAAAAAAACTGGGAAAACTTATTGACTCGAGTATAAGCCTAGGGTGGGAAATGCAGCAGCTACTGGTAAATTTCAAAAATAAAAATAGATACCAATAGAATTACATTAATTGAGGCATCAATCAGTAGGTTAAATGTTTTTGAATATTTATTTCAAAGAAAAACAGTAAACTAGCTCTGTAAGTGGAAAAGAGGGACAACAAAAACAATATGGTATCAACAATAACTTTAAAAGTACAAAAACATTCATCTCTCCCCCTTCTCACTGTACTCAAACTACTCCCTCTTCCATTCCTCAGCTGCCTCATGAGAGCTCTCAAATATTCCACAGTACTTTACTCAAACCTCTTACCATTGTTTAAAACTGCCAGTTTTCCCCGTCCCCTCCAGCCTTTCAGTGTTTCTCCCTTCTCACTGTCATGCCACGCTCACTACTCTTGTGCAACCTGACTTCACTTTTGCTCGCTGCCTTTATGCAAATCCAGGATTGTGACGCAGCAACTACAAGTCCTCCAGTGGGGGCTGCCAATATCAAAGCCTTTCTTCCTAGGGAAAGAAAGGTATCTCGTGGACCAGAAGCTAATTCTGGACTAAACTTCGCAAGCCCACAGGTTTAATTTTTAAGGAAGGTAACCTCTTCTCAACGGATAAAGGGGATGCTGGTGCTATCTTACCCGATGTTTCCAGCAGTGATGACAACAGAACACAGGTGCTTCCCCCCTCCTCAAAAGGGGGGCCCTCTCTACCCCACTGGTTCGCCCAGCCTTCGGTCTCAGAACATTTGATATACACATATCAAAGGGCTTGAGTTCAAGCTCCCTCAAAGCTCCGTGGGAGATGGAAGTGTCAAGGCGGCCCATGGTGTGGGAAGCAGAGAGGCGGAGGGCGGCCTCACGTACAGAAACGCGTAGGTGAGAAGCTGAGATCAAGGCTCTGTAGCCAGCGCAGCACCGTCCGGGGCAGCCCCGCACACCTCGGGCTAGTGGAGTAGGACATGAGAGGCAGCTTCCCTTCGTGAGCACCTTCTAGAACCATAATGGCAGTTGCCACAGCAACCGCCACTCTGTCTGGTTTTTGGTTTTGTTTAAAGGAGCACTGCCGCGCATGCGTCGGAACGCCTGGGCTTCTTTAAGCGTTTGCACATGTGCAACTGCGGGGCTGTTTGCAGACACGCAACTTTGCCGCTGTCAGCGGCAGGGGAGGAGGAGGAAGGAGCAGTCGAAAAGGGTGCTTTCGGGCTGCTCGTTCCTCCTCCTCCACCGACAACAGCCTCTGCCGCTCACAAGTCATCCGCACTGCACTGGAGAACAGGTAAGTGGGACCCTCACTCGAGTATAAGCCGAGGGGGGCTTTTTCAGCATGAAAAATGTGCTGAAAAAGTCGGCTTATACTCGAGTATATACGGTAGATTGAGGGGCAACACCATCAACCTATCCCTACAGTTTTAGGTTTCATCATGCAGATTCAAGAGCCAATTCATTGCCCTCTGAATACAAATACTAAAATTGGCATGTCGTCATATTTATTTGCAACACTTGTTTGAACAGCACCTGAACTTAAAGTAATGTAGGTTGGATGACTGTGACAAGAGAAGTAAGTCATCCTATTTTTTGTTCATCATTAGCGATCCTCTTCTGAATGCCCTTCCCTCCTTATGTCAGGTGGGTAGTACCAGAGAGAGGGCCTTTTCAGCCGTGGTGTCCCACATATGGAAAGCCCCTTTGAGTTAAATTTATGCTAATCTTTGTTATTAATCTGGTGTTGCTTATGACTTGGAGAGCTGTCCTGGGAGTTTTAACTGAAGGGCAGCATGTAAAATGCTGTAATTAATCATTATAAAAAGTATTTACCTAATCAAGATTACAGGGGAAAGCTTAGATCACATTGAAGTCAACGGGAAAGCTTTCATTGCTTTGAATCTAAATGGGATTGCACAAAAAGTTCTTCATATATTTATTTATGCACAGAGTTTTCTGTAGTAGAATTTGTTGCTTTTAAACTTACCTTCATCTCTTCTTGATTTTTAATATTCATACTCAAGTTATTAAGTGCATTCAGTGCTTTTTCTTTCACTTTAGTGTCAGGAACTGAAAGCATTTTTCCAACGACGATAAGCCCGCCTAAATTTCGAATGATATCCTACGAGTTAAAGAGAAAAATGTGCGATATACAATTATCTTAATTTAATTCCGGGAGCCAAACAAAATATGTTTTAATTGTTATATGAATTCTGCTTGAATCAACAAAGAATACAATGAAGAAATTGGATTTCATTTTTATCTAATCTGTAAAAACTACTCTAGGCATAGCATTTACTGTAAGGTGGAGCACATGGGTAGACACTGTGAAAGGTATCATTTTTACCTCCTTCCCACCTCTCCCAAACTACTCCAACACACCAGGACACTCTCTTCAAGTGGGACAGAGTTATGCAGGAGTTGGAAGGGGGATGAAATTGCCTAGCTCCTCACAAGTGTTCATGGAACTGTGGTTTGCTCATGCAAAGGGCTCTGTGCATCATCCTTGCCAACGACTAATGACATCTCTACTTTTTCTCATTGAGGCAAGGTACAGAACAGTGTAGTACTCTCAACTCAATCTCCCGTTTCTTCTATAAGGGCTCCTCCAGATGACCTGTTTACTGAGAATTCAACCTGATTTACTTGCACAAAGCTTATGTAGAGGAAAAATGATAGCTGGTCTCTACTGAGCATTTGTTCTGATTTGTCTGCAGGGCGGTTTATTACAATGAAAATTTATCCTGATTTTCTTGCAGGGCGTTCATATAGCTTTCCGCTCATCATTCGTTTATTTCACACTTTCAATGCATTTCCTCATCACTTTCCAAACTACACAAAGTCTTTCTTTTTTAAAAAAGTGGATTTGTTGAGCTACAGCAACAGAGCCCTAAATGCACAAACTGAAAGTTTGTGTTCTTGAGGCCCTCTCCACAATAATGAGAGTCTGGAGGCACCACTAGCGTTGAGATGGGACAAGGCACTATGGGTCCGCTTAGAATTCTGTCACTTAAGCTGTGGAAGTTGTATTGGTCCTAGAAAAATACACAGCTAAGTATTACAGTTACCTAACACAGTGGTTCCCAACGGTGGTCCATGGACCCCCGGGGGTCTGCGTAATCCACCCAGGGGGTCCGTAGCACAATTCACAATACCAAAAACTACCACAGAGATATAAATATTTTCAAAAGCCATGGCTTTCGAAAAACGGGCTCTGAAGTACTTTGCTAATTGGGAACCACTGACCTAACAGAAGCCAAGATCTACTTGTAGAAGAAGATTTCATTTTGAAGATTTATACCCCACTCTTAGATTATATGATCCTGATCCCAAGGAAACAAATTGCATTGTTTTAATTAGTTTTTACATGATTATTACTTTATCTTATTGTCTTTTATATGTTTTATTTTCTTTTAAGCAAAGAACAATACTTACCTGATTTGCAGAGAATGCAGCACTGTTGCTCAATGTAACCAAGGCTTGCTCCTGAATTGTGGGATCCTTCGTAGAGTCAAGTAAACGAATAAGATTCTGTATATGGTGTGCCTCCAGATCATGGGATGATTTTGGAAGATCCACGTCTTCTAATTTTAGAAATTTTAGAAACATAAACAATTTCTACACTAGTAATTTACTAGTAATTTAGCCACAATCCCTTCTGGGCAGCCTTCCCAGGGCAACATCATCATGTAAGTGATGTCAGTGGTGGATTGGGCCTGGGGTAAAAGTGGGTGGGGCAACACATTTTAGGTTGTCTTTTATGCAATAGGCTAGTTGCTACATAGGCTCACACGCCACTCTCTATCCTCTCTACCCAGACATCAAGGACACATTCCAGCCATGCAAAAACTGTTAGGGTGTAAAGCAGGGGCAGTGAGGGATATGGTCTGGGGAGAGGCGTGTGTGACTTGGAGAGAGTCCCAAGGGCCAGACAGAGGGGGCTACAGGGCCACATTTGGTGCCTGCGCCTGAAACTCCCCATCCCTGGAATAGAGTGTTAACACCTGCCTCTACATTGCATATTTGAAAGGCTGCAGTAGTCTACAGTGGTTACTGTGTGTATATGCACTAGCTAAAACAGTTGTACTACAACTTTTTATTTTATTTTACATTAGGCATTTCTTATGGGACGCGGGTGGCGCTGTGGGTAAAAGCCTCAGCGCCTAGGGCTTGCCGATTGAAAGGTCGGCGGTTCGAATCCCCGTGGCGGGGTGCGCTCCCGTTGTTCGGTCCCAGCGCCTGCCAACCTAGCAGTTCGAAAGTACCTCCGGGTGCAAGTAGATAAATAGGGACCGCTTACTAGCGGGAAGGTAAACGGCGTTTCCGTGTGCGGCTCTGGCTCGCCAGAGCAGCAATGTCACGCTGGCCACGTGACCCAGAAGTGTCTCCGGACAGCGCTGGCCCCCGGCCTCTTGAGTGAGATGGGCGCACAACCCTAGAGTCTGTCAAGACTGGCCTGTACGGGCAGGGGTACCTTTACCTTTACCTAGGCATTTCTTTGCATTTCAAACCTGCGTAGCTACACTCTGAATTATTATAGCCCAATGACAAAGTTTGACATGAACATAAAAGTCTGTGTTAAAACAGAGATACATTTTGGTGACAGTGGGCAGATCACTAACTCAGCTCCAATGACCAATTAGTAAGATAGTTATGATAATAAAGTCCTATTTAACTGGATTTTTATGGAGCAGAATAAAGCAATGAATGTTGATCTCCCTGCATCTGAGGATGTCTGTTCTGAACCGGTGTTTGACATTTCATCTCAATTCATTTCATCTTGTCTTGGAACTAATAATAACCATGTATTTCCTATCTATTCTACCTCCTAGGACAGTGGGCTTGGGTTCTTCCTTCTTTACTTAAAACTGCATTTGTCCAATTGGCTCCAAGCCACCTCGGAAACAGTGTGGAAAGAAGAGGAGGGAGAGATATACAGTATTTGAAACAGGGTTATTATACCTTATCAGCAGTTAGTCTAGGTAAGAAGCAACAACCTCGTTCACTAATTAGCAATGGGTGCCTGAACAAAAAGGTTCATTTTTTTAATAAATGAAAAAGTCTCTAATGGCAAGAGGGGAAAGAAGAGCCTCTGATCAGGCTAACTGCAGAGAGGCTTGCCTACCTTTAATGAGTCATAATGTTTTGCACAACTAACAATCCCAGAATGGATTGTTAATTAGCAGCAAATCATGGGATAAATTGCACAACTGCAGTCTACTATTATCAGTAGTAAACTGCAGGCCAAACTGCCTAGCTAGACAGGCCCTTGTAATGTTATGCTAATACAGTGGTACCTCGCAAGACGAATGCCTCGCAAGACAAAAAACCCGCTAGACGAAAGGGTTTTTTGTTTTTTGAGCTGCTTCGCAAGACGATTTTCCCTATGGGCTTGCTTCGCAAGACGGAAACGTCTTGCAAGTTTGTTTCCTTTTTCTTAACACCGTTAATACAGTTGCGACTTGACTTCGAGGACCAACTCATAGCACACGGTGTGGTAGCCTTTTTTGAGGTTTTTGAAGACATTGGTGATTTTTGAAGCTTTTCCAAAACTTTTCCGAAACCGTGCTTCGCATGACGAAAAAAATCGCAAGACGACAAAACTCGCGGAACTAATTAATTTCGTCTTGCGAGGCACCACTGTAGCATGTACATAAATAACATGTGAACCCCTTGAACTGTGCTTCTGACAAGTGATTGAGGAGTCCTAAACAGCTCTGGTCTAAGGGATTGTTGTTTAGTCGTGTCCGACTCTTCGTGACCCCCTGGACCAGAGCACACCAGGCACTCCAATCTTCCACTGCCTCCTGCAGTTTGGTCAAACTCATGCTGGTAGCTTCAAGAACACTGTCCCACCATCTCGTCCTCTGCCGTCCCCTTCTCCTTATGCCCTCCATCTTTCCCAATATCAGGGTCTTTTCCAGGGTGTCTTCTCTTCTCATGAGGTGGTCTAAGGCAGTGTTTCCCAACCTTGGGCCTCCAGCTGTTTTTGGACTACAACTCCCATCATCCCTAGCTAGCAAGACCAGTGGTCAGGGATGATGGGAATTGTAGTTCAAAAACAGCTGGAGGCCCAAGGTTGGGAAACACTGGTCTAAGGGATACACAGCTGTATTTCTCTGCACTTGCCACTGGAGTACTCAGGGCCGGATTTAGGTCTGATGAGGCCCTAAACTACTGAAGGTAATGGGGCCCTTTATATGTCCAGCTGTCCTCTGTCAACAACAAATTGTTGCTGTTTTTTGTATTGAGTATATGCTACAGTGGTACCTCTGGATGCGAACAGGATCCATTCCAGAGCCCCATTCGCATCCTGAAGCGAACGCAACCCATGTCTGCACGTGTGCGGGTCACAATTCGTCACTTCTGTGCATGCGCGTGATGTCATCTTGAGGGTCTGCACATGAAACCCCCAAAGTAACGTGTTCTATTAAATCTGGGTCGCTGCGCAGCGCAACCTGAAAACGCTCAACCTGAAGCAACTTCAACCCAAGGTATGACTGTATATGGTAGTTTATGGACCTAATGGGTATCTAAAACCATTTGCACGTAACAAAATATGTATTTTATCAAAGTAATTGTTGAACTGAAATACAATTAAGAAGTATATTAATAATGAAATACAGTGGTACCTCGGGTTAAGTACTTAATTCGTTCCGGAGGTCTGCTCTTAACCTGAAACTGTTCTTAACCTGAAGCACCACTTTAGCTAATGGGGCCTCCTGCTGCCGCCGCGCCGCCAGAGCACAATTTCTGTTCTCATCCTGAAGCAAAGTTCTTAACCCGAGGTACTATTTCTGGGTTAGCGGAGTATGTAACCTGAAGCGTATGTAACCTGAAGTGTATGTAACCCAAGGTACCACTGTACAATTAAGAAGAAGTATATTAATAGTTAAATAATTATTAAGCTCCAACTTAACATTTTGGAAATGTGCATCCAGTTTTTTGGGGGGCCCCCAAGAGAGTGGGGCCTTAGGCCAGTGTTTTTCAACCACTGTTCCGCGGCACACTAGTGTGCCGCGAGATGTTGCCTGGTGTGCTGTGGGAAAAATTCGAAAGATTTTTTTTAAAAAAATGTCAAATTTTCACCCACTAGGCGGGCGCCGGACTGTGTCCTGGGTATGGGGTGGGGTTTTTGACCCCACCCTCGGCCAGCAGGGGTGCCGATTGGCGCTCCTCAGGGGGACACCCTCCACTTTTCTGATGCCATTAAAGAAAAAAAATATTAAACCATGCTTGAATGTCGGAACTGGTTACTAAAATTTTTGAATCCCACCACTGATGTTAAGGACTATAAATAGCTCCGGTGTCACTGTTACACTAACAGGAGGAGACATTGCAGTAGAATAAAGTATTTTATAATTTTTCATATTTCTGTTGACTTACTATTTCATAATAATTATAAAATACTTTGTGTTTATTTGATTCCTCTTCAAGAGAATTACTTTATATATAGTCAATATAGGCACAGAGTTAATTTTTTTAACATTTTCTAATGGTGGTGTGCCTCATGATTTTTTTTCATGAAACAAGTGTGCCTTTGCCCAAAAAAGGTTGAAAAACACTGCCTTAGGCTATAGCTTGTTTAGCTTATACCTAAATCCGGCACTGGGACTTCTCACTATCCTCTTGGAAAGCGCAAACTGGGTAACTGGAAAATGCATTAAGAACAAAACTAAGCGCCCTGCGCCCCTGGCGCTCTTACCTCGCCGAAGGTTTTCCGGCCCCTTCCGGCCCGGGCTGGAAATCACGGGCATCGCCGACACTTTCTGGAGCAATGTGGGGGCGGCCGCCTGGTGCTCCTGCCCTGGGCGAACATCTCCCCGCTTTGGCCCTCCCTCGCGCCCCCTTCTCCGCCTGCTCGCTCGGTAAACGCAGTAGCAGAGGCCGGCCCCGACCGCCAGCCCCGCCACCAGCCCCGCCACCAGCCCCGTCCGCACCGACACAGACGACCCTCCGCTCTCCCTCATGGTGGTCACGTCTCTCTCGGCCCCTCAGAGACCCGCCGGGAGGAAGCGGCCATCAGCGCGGGCTCCGCCTCCCTCGCTCGGCGGCCTGGAAGAGCAGCGGCGCCTCGGCCGCCCCCTTGCGCGCGCGGCGCCCTCCGCATCCAGACCTCCTCCGGGCGCAGGAAGCGCGCGGGGGAGATCTGGCGGCGCCCCCCCCCCCGCCAAAGTTTTTCATTTCAGCGCCCACTGCCGCCTCAGAAGTAGGCGAAGCAACGGAGTCACGAGTAAACCATCCACTCGCTTTCTCCCTTTTAACTCTTCACCCAGGGAGGCTCTTTTTAGCGCAGTTCGTAGGGCGAGGAGATAAGTAAAAGCGCAATCCTAAACCCAGAGAGATGGGGCCTCAGGGCGCGCTTCTCCAGGGGAGGCTGGAGCCGCAGGGCGGAATGCGCCCCCCCCCGGGCTGCTGTAACGGCCCCCACCAACGGCTGGATTCTTCCATTTGCCTCTGGCACTCCATCCTCAAGCGTTGCTTTGGTGTCCCCCAGTGGCGTAGCGTGGGTTGTCAGCACCCGGGGCAAGGCAAGTAATTTGCGCCCCCTAACCCGTGGATTTGCGCCCCTAACCCGTGGACCCTAACCCGTGGATTTGCCCTAACCCCAGATGTTGTGCCCGGTGCGGCCGGCCCCCCCTGCACCCCCCATGCTACGCCACTGGTGTCCCCCTTGCAGCGTGGGGCGTAGCCTGGGGGTGCAGGGGGGGCGGCCGCACCGGGCGCAATATGGGGGGGGGCTCTCGCACTCGCAGCTCTCTGCCCCTACCTGGCTCACTCACTCTCTCTCACTGCAGTGCTGGCTGTGCGAATCCGAGCCGAGCCGCCGGGTTGCCCCCCACTGTGGAGGGGGGGGGTGCCAGGCGTGCGGTGCGGTTAGGGAGCGCAAATTACTTGCCTTGCCCCGGGTGTTGACAACCCGAGCTACGCCACTGCTTGCAGCTGCCCTGGTCAGGACGCCCTAAATCCGCCTCTGCCCGGGTTCTTGCCTACTCTGAGCAAGAGGGGAGAGGCGCAATGTTTGCGCCCCCTGGTCCTGCGCTGTTGGCGAGGGCCAGTCTGGCCAACTTCTAGGTATGCCCCGGGGCCAGGCTCTGTGGATGGAGTGGCTGGATCAGCATTGCACCCCCCCCCCCACAGCAGAGACCATGGAGCTCAAAAAGAAGCTCAAAAAGGTTGTTTTGGGTCCCCTTTGGCCCTCTGCCAGTGACTCCCCCCCCCCACCATAGGGGTTGGGTCTGTTCTGCTGCGCCCCCCCCCCCGACCTGCTGTAACGGCCCCCACCAACGGCTGGATTCTTCCATTTGCCCCTGGCACTCCATCCTCAAGCGTTGCTTTGGTGTCCCCCTTGCAGCCAGTGGTGTAGCGTGGGGGGTGCAGGGGGGCCGGGCGCAATATCTGGGGGGGCACGCTCGCACTCGCAGCTCTCTGCCCCTACCTGGCTCACTCACTCTCTCTCACGGCAGTGCTGGCTGTGCGAATCCGAGCCGAGCCGCCGGGTCGCCCCCCACTGTGGGGGGGGTGTGTGTGCCAGGCGTGAGGTGTGGTTAGGGGGTGCAAATTACTTGCCTTGCCCCGGGTGCTGACAACCCACGCTACGCCACTGCTTGCAGCTGCCCTGGTCGGGACGCCCTAAATCCGCCTCTGCCCGGGTTCTTGCCTACTCTGAGCAAGAGGGGAGAGGCGCAATGTTTGCGCCCCCTGGTCCTGCGCTGTTGGCGAGGGCCAGTCTGGCCAACTTCTAGGTATGCCCCGGGGCCAGGCTCTGTGGATGGAGTGGCTGGATCAGCATTGCGCCCGCCCCCCCCCCCGCCCCAAGAGACTGTGGACAAGAAGCTCAAAAAGGTTGTTTTGGGTCCCCTTTGGCCCTCTGCCAGTGACTCCCCCCCACACCATAGGGGTTGGGTCTGTTCTGCTGCGCCCCCCCTGCTGTAACGGCCCCCACCAACGGCTGGATTCTTCCATTTGCCTCTCGCACTGCATCCTCAAGCGTTGCTTTGGTGTCCCCCTTGCAACTGCAGATTTTGGAGTTCATGGGAACTACTTTGCATGAGTCTCTTCTGGATACAACTCAAAAGTGGGGTGGGGATGGAGATCAACACCTGACATTTAATCTCATCACCTTCGCACATTGTCTGCTGACCTGTGTTGCCCCTTCTAGGTTGCTGAGTAGAGTGGTACCTCAGGTTACAGACGCTTCAGGTTACAGACCTCCGCTAACCCAGAAATAGTACCTCGGGTTAAGAACTTTGCTTCAGGATGAGAACAGAAATCGTGCTCCGGTGGCGCAGCGGGAGACCCCATTAGCTAAAGTGGTGCTTCAGGTTAAAAACAGTTTCAGGTTAAGAGCGAGCCTCCGGAACGAATTAAGTACTTAACCCGAGGTACCACTGTACTGCAGTCCCAGGAGAAGCCCACAACAGGCAAACTTCCTTTCCTGCCCAACTGTTCCTTGTCCTCTTTTGTCAGGATCATTGCATGTGGATACATAAAAAGCAGCATTTTCTTTAAAATGAAAAAAGCAGCTTGAGAGGGGCCAGTTTAGGAAAAAGCATCAGTGTGAGGGCTGTTTTAGCCTTTCTCTGCCTGCCACTTCTCCATTCCTATCTACCCCCAACTGTTTCTCCCTCTCTGCGGTGCTGAACCCATTTTGTGAGGGTAGAGTGTGGAAGGGAAATAGCTTGAGAGGGAGGAATCTCTTAGTGGAGAAGCAGGGCGTGGAGGGGGGGGGGCTTTCCCTGCTCATTCTCTACTTAAACCACCCTCTTCCAACAGTGTTCTTTTAAAATAAGTAGTAGATTACAACTTTTACTTTCATGCATCTGCTTGCAATGTTGATGTGCCTGCTATTCCAGAGATCAGCAAGGTTTACCTCACCTGGGCCGGTTCACTCCCGCAGAGATCGCTCCGTGGGCCGGATGACGCATCTGCACATGCACAGACGTGATTTCCAGCATCGCAGAAGTGAGTCCCTACTCCGCACTGCGCCAGTTTAGCGCAGCGTGCGGGAGACCCGACAAGCGTGTGGCTCAGTTCGGAGGTGGCTCGTGGGCTGTTTAAATGACCCCCGTGGGCCGCTTGTGGCCCATGGGCCGCAGGTTGCCGCCCCCTGTGCTGTTCTGTGAGGTTTGGTCTCATTTGCACTTTCTCCTCCAGCTCCAGCAGTCATTGTTTCTTCAGAACTCTGCTATGCACCCTGTTCCCCCCTCCCATAGGATAAATGTATGTGCCAGCTAAGTGTAAACTTGGAGATTGCAACTTGAAATGTTGTCTGTGGTATGGTGCAATGCAGCTTATCATGTTCTTCAAAGTTCCTTCTCTCACTGGTGCCTTCTTCGCCTGTTTCTCTGTGCTATGCTTTTCCTCAAGTCTCACTTCCCAGCTGTTTTCCCAGGTTCCTCTTTTTTCCTTCCAATGCCTTGCTGCATGCTTCCACCAGCCACCTTGCCTCTGGTCTCTCCACCCCTTCGTTTTACTATCTCCTATGATTTCTTTCTAGTCCTCAACCGTCCCCAAAAAGCTCTGCCTCTCCCTAGGGCCTATGTGGTGTTTTAATCTGAGCCAAAATGAGAAAGTTCCTTTTCAGCCTAGAAGTTGAACTGAAAATATTCTGGCAACGGTCCTCACTCAGCCGTTTGATAATAATCTGTCAGAAGTGCAATACAATATAGTGAGTACCCCCCCTTTAATTTTTTAAAAAATATAGGCATAGTTTCTATTGGCATATCACTGTCTTTTTTCAGTGCACCAATGCGCTTGAGTTGGGTTATCATTAAAATGACTGGGGATGTGACAATTGCTGAACACATTCTGGAGGTGCTATCATTACTGCGGTGTTAACATTGTAATCTTCTCAGATATTTAATTACTTTCCCAAAGGCATCTATAAATTAAGTTCCTAAGCAGCGTGCCATCTGAGACATTAAAATATAACTTTTAATTTGGAAAGGTTGCTGAAAAATAATTCATTCTTGTGGTTGGATTTCTTATTTTAGTCTGTTACCCCAGCCTGTCAAAAACCAACCTCTCTTTATCTTTAATCTGTATTAGCCATTGAGGTGTGAATTGGAAGAAACGCGCCACTTACTCAGGCTGATATATATTTTGTGTCTACGAGCACAATATTTCAAAATAATGCATAGGTAGTTTTTAGCAGCGGTTACAGGTGTAAAAGCTCAGTTGCAAATGGCATATGCTAGTTTTGTTTCACTGCACTAATGCTTTGAGAAGAAGCTATGTTTTCATGAAGTCTGTCGTTAAGACAGGTTTTGTAGTGTAGAGGTTCACAAACTCTTGGGGTGTTGTTTCTTTGAGGTATAGGATGTATTTGAGCTTCACACAGAACACTGCTAATGCACAAAGGTTGAAAATAATGCACCTTTCTTTGACAGATCAGAGGTTAGTTTGGATCTCATAATCTGCCTGTTCTATCTGGGGATATACTCACAGCTTTGTAGTACAGCAGCTGTTCTGCCTTTTGGGCAGTCGGTTCTTGGATTTGCAGATTCAGGAAATCCCGTCCACTGAGAGCATTCTGCTCTGTTTTCATAATGTTACTTCAAAGCCTTGTTCTCAGATGGTTAAGTAACAAGATGACATATCATGACGACTACTTTTTGCACAGCTGAGTAGTCAAGTTTGGATTTGTATCTGGGTGTGTGTATGTTATTAACAAAGAATGTGGGCTTTAGAATCATGTGACTCTGAAGCATCTTCTTTGGAAAGATTTATTTTGCTAAGCTAATAAGATACCAAAGGACCATATTTAAGCAAATTTATTACAATGTGGGAGACAGGGCCAGATGGGATGGAAAGAAAGGAATCAAGTGCCTGTGATGAAATATAATAGCTTTTTAGTGTAAGTGAGAGATGAGTAGTAACAACAGCAATAACTGCGGATGACAGCAAAGTCATGGCCTCTGGGGAAAGTGGTTTCCTAGTAGTATTCGACTTGGTGCTCATTTGGCTGAGAATATTTTTGAACTTCTTAGGACAAACCAAAGCTGCATTTCTGTTCTGCATCTTCAGCTACCTGAGAACTCTTGCAAACACCCAAAGGAGAAATACTGACTCTTCCTAATGGTACATCAATATTGAAATGGCCAGAAATGGGGCCAGTTGGGTTCAGTGGTGGTTCTTTCCTCCCTCTGCTTCAACTGCTCATAGATGATGATTTCGGAAGAAGGAGTGCCAGTGGGTGGCATGTTAAGTGGGTTGAAGTGCTTTGGTGGGAGAAGTTGCCATATGTGAAATGGCCCTTAAGTGCTGTAACTTTATTGCTATTCTCTCTATGAGAAAATGAGTTAACTTTAGGTGTATCCAGAATATTCCAGAAAACCAGTATATATATTAAAAAAAGATTCAGAAGATAAGTGACAAGATAAGTCTGTTAGATGCAGTTGCTTAAGGCATACCAGCTTCTTTTCCATATTTGTTCTAGGAAGGTGTGGGACCCATTTGAGCTCTTGGGGTTAATTCTTAATGACTGGCAAGTCTTCCAAAGTCCATTTAGCCAAATCCTCAGTTAGCACTTGTGTCCATTTTTTGAATGAGAAACCCTACCATTTTGGGGGAAATGCGAAAGATTCTTCCTCCCTTTCTTTTACAGAACTTTTCGTGTGTGGCTGAAGAAAGACAGTGGTCAGTATTGGCCTAACACATACCACCCACTGCCTTGTAAGTATTTGCAATACTTGGTCCATTTTAATTCTCAGCTTTCAGGCCCACTCCTCACTTTTTCTTCATCACCACTTCCACCAATAATTAGCTGTTGAGAGTACAGTGTGGATCTTCCATAATTCTGATGGCATTTAAATACATTGAACATTTTTAAACAAGGGATTCTGGTGTGTGGCAAATATAAGCAATGTGACACCCATGTTACTGGACTCCATATTTCTGCAGGTGCGTTAACCCAGAAACAAGAAAGCTGTCTGTCGGTCTAGATGATGTACAATCTCAGTAAGTACACATGATAAGATTTCTAGTTAAGATGTGTTCCCATCCCCCCCCCAATCCCAAAGAAGACAGGTTTATACTGTAAAATGTTTAACAAAACAGGAAGGAATGGGGAAACAAGCCAACTAGGTACCAGTTCTTGAAGTCGCAAAGCTCCCAAAGCAAGTGGTGTCTTGGGCCTGCCTTCCCATGTCTCCCGTCCCTCTTTTTCTGCTTCAGGTAGGTGATAGTTGATGACTTTCATACAGGAGTTAGCTGGTCAACTTTCCCAATTGGAAACCTTTCTACAGGGAATTACAAAGCAAACTGGCTTGGTCTCTGTAAGAATTTGCACAGTATTTGATCATTGAAGCAGCAACTCGCTGTTGGACTTATTCATTTGACTTCCTTGACCCGAGAAGATACTAGAGCAGATATTAGACAGCAAACTTGTAAGCACCTAGAAGAAAGGAAGTGTTTATTAGCATGCCCCCCCCCATCCCTGCTATATTGTCAGGGGCTACTTCTTAGGCGGGACGCGGGTGGCACTGTGGGTAAAACCTCAGTGCCTAGGACTTGCCGATCGTATGGTCGGCGGTTCGAATCCCCGCGGCGGGGTGAGCTCCCGTCGTTCAGTCCCTGCTCCTGCCTACCTAGCAGTTCGAAAGCAGTCTTAAGTGCAAGTAGATAAATAGGTACCGCTTTATAGCGGGACGGGAAGGTAAACGGCGTTTCCGTGTGCTGCGCTGGTGCTGGCTCGCCAGCTGCAGCTTCATCACACTGGCCACGTGACCCGGAAGTGTCTCCGGACAGCGCTGGCTCCCGGCCTCTTAAGCGAGATGAGCACGCAACCCCAGAGTCGGACACGACTGGCCTGTACGGGCAGGGGTACCTTTACCTTTACCTTACTTCTTAGGCAGCCAAGGTGTGGAGCTTCCAGTTTCTAAGAGCTGTGTGCGCTATTTGTACTATTTTGCCTTTCATTCACCTTCACCTGCAGAAATGGGTGGTGATGACAACCTGTGGTGCCAGATCTCTTGCGCCCATCAGTCATCAGCTGGACTGTGCAGGGTCTGCTACCAGTTACAGCACATACGGCAGTTATGTGCAGGTGAACAAAATAAGAAAGCATGGCTTATGTTGGAATAGGTCCAAAGGACATTTCACCGAAAGGGAGGCCTCCCTCTCTTAAGTCATTTAATCCTTTATGCAGCTATTATTCCTAGACAGGACAGGGCTGAAAACCCCTTTTTTCCTTTGTGTCTTTAGGCATAATATGGAAGATCTGGGAACGTTATAGGTCAATAAATGGGTTAGTTGAGAAATGCCATTACATTATCTACAGATTGAGGAAAACATATGCATAGGTTTGTTTTTTTAAAGAGTTATTTATGAAGACATGCCTGACAGAAACTGTTCTTAATGTTTTCCAGGTGGATTCTTTTCATGCACTTATTTATGTATACCCTTTATTGACTGCCCAGTCAGCAAAGTTCTCTCTGGGTGGTTCACACAGAGTTGAAACAATACACATTTTTCAGACCCTCCAAATGTCCCTATTTTCCAGGGATGTCCCTGATTTAGAGAAGCCATCCCGGTTTCTGATTTGATCCCAGAAATTCCCAACTTTCCTTAGAATATCTCTGCTTTTATTGGAGAAATGTAGGAGGGTATGGAGTTATCCGACCCCTGAGCCGTCTGAAGGCAATCCTGTATAGGGAAGGGTTTTTTTAAAAAATGTTTAATATTTTATTATGTTTTTATATATGTTGGAATCTGTCCAGAGTGGCTGGGGCAACCCAGTAATATGTGTGGGGTATAAAGAGTAAAATTATCATTATGGAATGGGACGTCCCTATTTTTATTGGAAAAATGTTGGAGGCTGTTTTTTTAAAACAGTTTACATATTAAAACCACCATTACAAACCTTTAAAATGTAAAAAAAAACACAACCCAGCCCATCCAATTTCCTGCCTAAAACTGTGATTCCAGAAAGCCACCAAGGAAGGGCCATGAGGAAATGGTACTCTCAAGGCAAAGATACTGAAATCTCCTGCACCAAATCCCCAATTTGGAATGAAGTATAAAAACGAAGAATGTGCCGGGGTAACTTTTGTTGCTGAGGACGACTGCGTAGGCTGAATCCTGATGTTCACAGTCCCATTTGCTGTGTGCACTCACTGTGGGAGTTGTGTAGCCCAGCAAGATGTGGCACCCATTGTGCACAACTTCCAGAGGTGTCTAAGGGCTCATGTGTGTGGCATTCTTAATTCTGTGTGAATGAGACAACTCTTCTCTTCTTCTCCCTCACCGTGCTGCACACATTTTTGAAATCTTTCTTGATGTACCACCCAAGCATGGGATTCTTCTTCGAGCCCCCCAACACGTGGCAAACTTGAATAAAGCTAGCTATCCCCTTTCTTGACAGCAGTGTCGGGTCATGTTCCTTATACCACAATCCCAAGCATGCTCACTAGGAACTAATTTCCACTGGGGTCAGAAAAAAATTACTCCCAAGTAGAGCTATTTTGGAGGCTCAGGTCCACAGGTGCCCTTTCATGAGCAGAAGGCCTCTTTCTGACTTGCATGAGAAAAGACAAAAAGGACAGTGTGTCTATATATATATATGTATTTATTTACATAGTATGTTTTGTCTGTATAATTCTAAGCACCATACCATGGGTTCCCTGGTGGTCTCCCATCTGGGCACCTCAGCAGACCTGCCAAGTGTCCCTCTTTTCAAGAGACAGCCCCCGATTTACAGAAGCCATTGTGACACCTTCCTCTGCTGGCTCACTGGTCACCAGAGTGCTAAAAGACCTGGTGGGCTCCTATGGTTGGATCATTTCGTCTGTGTGAGAGAAAGAAGATGGAAATGTAAGTAGGATTTGACTCAGCATCTGAATTCTGTGATGATAGTGAATTCCTCTTGAGCGTAGATGTGTGAATGCCAAGACCAGTTTAGGGACAGGAGAGTACTGTGAGCCACATTTCTCACATTTTCTCTTTCTTTTCTAGGCTTTCAAGGCTGAGGAAAGTGTTATCCCGGTTGGGAAGGTGAAGTAAGATTTTGCCTCTCCCTGAGACCTCCCTCTCACCCACAACTTCCCCCTCTGCACCCCTCTTTCAGAGGACAGAAAAGGTAAAACCCTTCAGCATTGGTGGTGGATTACAGGAAAAAAAAGGCGGACATTCAGCCCTTGTATATCAACGGGGAACGGGTGGAGAGGGTGGCGGAATTCAGGTTTTTGGGAGTAACTATCGATCAGGGCATGACTTGGAGCGCACATACCACTGCTCTGGTGAAGAAGGCCCAGCAGAGAATTTATTTCCTCAGACTTTTAAAGAAGAACAATCTGAGTGAGAGACTGCTGGTGTCCTTCTACCGAGGCTCCATAGAGAGCATTCTTACATACTGTATTTGTGCTTGGTTCTCCAGTTGTACAGCTAGGGAGAGGAAGGTGCTCCAGAAGGTCATAACCACAGCCCAAAGGATTATTGGTCATCCTCTCCCATCTTTGGAAGAACTGTACGGTTCCCGTTGTCTTAGGAAAGCAAATAACATCCTGCAGGATTCATCTCACCCGGGACACAGTCTGTTTGCACTACTGCCTTCTGGCAGGAGATATAGAAACATCAAGTCAAAGACAAATAGACTGAAAAACAGTTTCTATCCAAGAGCTGTGGCCTTTTTGAATGCTGTAACTCGATAGTGTGACCTGGGAGTTTGATGGGTGTTGGTGTGGGTGTGGCTGGAATGTGGTTTGTTTGGTTGTTGTTGTTGTTTTGCTTTTGTTGTTTTAAGGGATGGCATCCAATTTCGTTGCACTTTGTGCAATGTTGCACTTGTGTAATGACAATAAAGAATCTATTCTATTCTATTCTATATAGATGTTGCTGTGATGGCCTGGGACTCGGACTCGGGCTCAGACTCGGAACCAGAGGAGACTCAGTCTGCACCGGATCCTTTGCCTCAGGCACCATCTGAACCAAGTCTGGGGCCTAATCCTGAAGAGTCCCAGTCTGCCCAGTCTGTTCCCCTGCAACAAACACCAGCTGGACCGAGTCAGGGGCCTGAGCCTACCCTGGCTCCAGATGCGGGGATTACCTCATTGCCTTCAGCTGGGTAATCACTTACAGCTGCTCCACTACCAGTCGGGTCAGGAGAGGCTGAGGCGGCCTCTGGGTCTAGTAACCTGCTGACATCTCCCAAGTTGCAGAGACTCAGGTCTGAGAGAAGGAGAGACCTGAGTATTTGCAGGAGGAGTGCTCGCCTTCGGGCAAAACAGGGAGGTGAGTCCCTGGGGGATCAGGACCAGCCGCTACTCCAATAAAGATAAAAGGCTGTCGGACCCTGCCCCAGGTTGCGGGAGCGACATTGCTGTATGCTAGATCTTGCACCTGTCCTTGCCTGGTTTCCTGCCTCGGCCCTGTCGGACTAACTCCCAGCAGAACCTTTGGATTCTGGACTGGTCCTGGACTGTGCTTCACGGGTTACCCCCGGGCCCAGCGCAGTTGCTTCCATAGTCATATTAGTCCCTAAGGTTTCTTAGGAAAGGTCTCTCTGTAACTGTCTGAGGCCTATTTCGAGGTTATGAAAAATAAACATATCCCATGTAGCTCTTTGTTTCCCTGTAGGCTCTGCATACCTCCTGCCAGAAGAGGATGGCCCAGGAAAAAATGACGGTAATGTCTATTTCCAAATACATGATCAGTGTATATAAGAAAGTCCCCCAAGCAGTTCTAATTGCTAGCCTTCTCTTCTTTTCCATTTAGATGACATAACCCTTGAAGACCTGGAGGGAGAGCAGGGACCCATTTTCTGTGAGCAGCAGGACAGCTCTTGAAGAAGATGACAGAAGAGCTCCTCCATCAGAGGAGCTCAAGAAATGCCCAGGAAAACATGAAGACAATGTCTATTTCCAAGGATATGTTCAGTGTATATAAGAAAGTCTCTAAAACACCTAGTCAAAGTCTTCCCTGCTAGGTTGAGAAACGCTGTGTTTCCATTTTGCTAATTATTTCTAAACTTGCATGTGTGTATTGAAACTAGCATATGCAAATCTGTCCCCCCATTTGGCCACCCTGATATCCTCTCTTCTTTCTCTTCCAATAAAAAATTCAGAAACAATTAGCCTAAGCCAAAGAATGGCAGTAGGGATGATAATTTAGGTAAACCACTTTCCTCTCATGTGATCCTTCATAGTAAAGGTTCGGGGTGAGGGGCCTTGGAACTTGCGGAAGGGCTGTACCTTGGTGGTAGGCGGTCTGATTGACATACAGAAAGTGGACTGATGGAGAAGGGATAGAGCAGTTGCCCCTTCTCAAGTGGGCTGCAAGAGGAAGGATGCTCCCTCCAACCAGCATAGAAACACAGCTCTCCACCTCTCAACTGCCAGCCCCTGACAGGTTAGTAAGACTTTTTGCAGGCTAGTAACTTTTGTGGGTTGTTTTATGAAAAATCCTCTCAATTTCCTTTCATTAGAGGATTTTTCATAAAGAAAATGCCCATCAAAGGAAAATGAAAGAAAGGGGGAAAATGGAAATCTGGGAAGAAATACAAAGAAATGAAAATGAATTACTTAATAAACCAGACAATGAAAACATTAAACAGAATATAAAAATCCCTTAAACACAATTCTCGATGGTAATAAATGAAGAGCTGGAATGGAAGATCAAATGGCTAAAATATAAACATTTTTAATTCAGAAATAAGCCGGGCAAACTCTTGGCCTGGCAACTAAAGAAAAAATGAGATGAAAGATTAATAAAATCAGAATGGATGATAAATGGTCTGATGATCCAAAGGAAATCAGTAGATGTTTTGCCAATTACTACAGAGTTATACAAAGAAGGCCCTGAAAAAAGTGAAAAAATTGCAGAATATTTGAAGAAGAATGGACTGCCTAAGATCTCAAAAGAGAAATCCAGGATATTAAACTCTCCCATTGCCCCTTTAGAGGTACAACAAGCAATTCAAAGAGCAAAAATAGGAAATACCCCTGGGCTGGTTGGGCTCCCTGCGACTTATTATAAGAAGATGGAAGAGATATTATTCATACCCCTAAAAGATACTATGAATGATGTGTTAACCAACGGGATTTTACCACACTCATTCCCAAACAAGGTTCAGATCTTACAAACATTGCCAATTATAGACCTATTGCCCTGCTTAATAATGATTATAAAATCTTCACTGATGTCCTGTCTTCTAGGCTTAAAATAATTCTCCAAGAAACAATTCATAAAGATCAAACCAGATTCTTACCTAGACGCCACATGCAAGAGAATTTCAGATGTGTCAATATCTTAGAATATAAAATAGATAAATCTGCTGTTATCATGTTAGTCGATGCTGAGAAAGCGTTTGACAATATATCGTGGAAGTTTATGAAGGAATTGTTAAACCAAATGGGAGTTTGGAGAATCCTTTAGTAAAGGGATTAATGCCATCTACACGCAGCAACGAGCCAAATTAATTATAAACGGCAATGTTCAGCATGCTGCACTCTGGGCAAACAACACAGCACACCAGGCTAACTTCAGTGAGCCTAACAGGACTGCAGCTCAGATAAATGAATGGTTTCCCACAAGCACTGAAGGTAAAGTGACAATGCCCCCCCCTTTAGCACCAGGACTTTGAGATGTCAGCTAAACAGACTGCAGGACACCTTCTTTCTGGAACCAAGGTTGATAAGAAGCACATGGGGAGACATTGCAAGAAAAGGGAACAGCAGCTCTCATGGTAGGAACATGAGAAGCTGCCTTGTACCGAGTCAGACCACTGGTCCATCTAACTCAGTATTGTCTGCACTGGTCGGCAGCCCCTTTCCATGGTTCTAGGCAGGATTCTCTCCCACCTGGAGATGTCAGGGGCTGAACCTGGGAGTTTCCGTATGCAAGCAGATGCTGTACTACTGACCTTTCCTTTTTATTATTTGAAATATTTACTGGTATATAACCAGATTCTTGGACCACTTACAACAAGGAAAAAACACATGAAAACTTACATATACAGTCATACCTTGGATGTTGAATGGCTTAGTTGCTGAACATTTCGGCTCTCAAACGTCAAAAACCTGGAAGAAGAAGGAGTTTGGATTTGATATCCCGCCTTATCACTCCCCTAAGGAGTCTTAAAGCAGCTAACATTCTCCTTTCCCTTCCTCCCCCACAACAAACACTCTGTGAGGTGAGTGAGGCTGAGAGACTTCAGAGAAGTGTGACAAGCCCAAGGTCACCCAGCAGCTGCATGTGGAAGAGCAGGGAATCGAACCCGGATCACCAGATTACGAGTCTACTGCTCTCAACCACTACACCACACTGGCTCTCCGGAAGTGAGTGTTCCAGTTTTCGAACGTTTTTTGGAAGCCAAACGTCCAGCGCGGCTTCTGCTTGAGTGCAGGAAGCTCCTACAGCCAATCATTTTTGGTTTTCGAACGGTTTTTGAATGGTTCCGGGAGACGAACGGACTCCCAGAACGGATTAAGTTCGACAACCAAGGTACAACTGTAATAAAGAAAGCATATATGTATGTACCCTTTTCGCTTAACAAATAGATTGTATTTTCCTTTTTACAGCAGGCTAGAGAATGCCCTATTCAAAACCATTTTCTTCCTTTTAAATTTTTAGACCACCCTTGATTCCTTAGATCTCAGGGCGGTACCTGGATTAGCAGTTCCTCCTTCTGTTAACCCAGTTATATAAATATAACGGCTACCTACCTGAATATAAATATAAAGTTTTATAATTTTTGTCTAGAAGTGAAGGCTGCTAATGAACATCTTTCCCATTTCCACTTTCCATATGTGACTGACTTTCATCAATCATCTCCACATCGCCTCCCCACCCTGTTCTATAAAAATAATTAAATTTAAGTTACATCAGTGTCAGCATTTATAAAATGAAGTTGAAGAAACTAATAATAATTTCTTTTCTATTTTTAGAGGTTCAACTTTGTTTATAGGAAGACTTACAAATGCTACAGAGTAAACTTGTCCTATCCCTGCTTCCATATATCTGCATTCCTAAAAAATTAAAAAAACACATTAGTAGGACATTTTAAGTCTTGTGACTACCAAGAGAAAGTTGTGTGAAACTTATGGCTGTAAATAAAAAGAGATGCTTATTGCCATTTCTGTGGTGGTTCTGTTCTGTTATAGCAGTTACAGACTTCTGAAAAATGCCTTAGGGCTCCTGCGTTCGAATCCTACTTGTGGCTTTCCCACAGTCATTTGGTTGGCCGCTGTGAGAACAGGATGCTGGAGTACATGGTCCGTTGGTCTGATCCAAGAAGCTCTTCAACAGCTTAGCTCAGTTGGTTAGAGCACAGTGCTGACAATGCCAAGGTGGCAGGTTTGATCCCCGTATGGGACAGCCATATATTCCTGCATTGGAGGGTTGGACTAGATAACCGTGGGGTCCCTTCCAATTCTGTGATTCATTGCTGCATCTTTACATGTTGCACCTCCATTTATTGTGAGGTATTTCAATGGAAAGAGTTACAGATGGGTAGCCGTGTTGGTCTGCCATAGTCAAAACAAAAAAAATTCCTTCCAGTAGCACCTTAAAGACCAACTAAGTTAGTTCTTGGTATGAGCTTTCGTGTGCATGCACACTTCTTCAGATACCTGATACCAGATACCTGATACCAGATACCTTGGTATGAGCTTTCGTGTGCATGCACACTTCTTCAGATACCTGATACCAGGTATCTGAAGAAGTGTGCATGCACACGAAAGCTCATACCAAGAACTAACTTAGTTGGTCTTTAAGGTGCTACTGGAAGGAATTTTTTTTGTTTTGTCAATGGAAAGAGTTATACCAGGACTGTTCTCACCTGGTAGCTTCATTATAAACCTTAGGTATGAAGTTGAAGAAAGAAAGCTCCTTTCAACCAACTTCAGATGATAGAGCGGTGCCATATAATGCTCGTTTCCATAAGGGCATTTCTACCCAAAGTATCTACCAGGGAAATAAGGGATCTGGAAAGGTTAACCTCGCTCAGAGTTGCCAAGGCTGCAACTTAGTATTTCGTATCCATCTCTTAATAAACAACACAACAGGATGTCCTTTCAACCAACTTCAGATGATAGAGAGGAGCTAAGTTTCAACCATTCATTTAGACACTTTTGACTTTCCTAAATTTAAGCAGCAGTGTTACGTCTAAGGTCTGCTCGGCCAGGTGGAGGAGTCTGGCTCTCCGGAGCCCGCCGTGACCCGGGCGGCCCTGGTGTCTCCGAGAAAGGTGAGCCGGAGGGACGGAAGGGCCCAGGCCGGGCGGGAATCTCTTGAGGATCGGCCCTTTGCGGAATCGACTGCGCCTGGCCCCTGGCAGATCAAGGGAATTAGGGTTGCCCTGTCCGAAAAGGGGGTGAGGAGACCGAGGGAAGTGAGCAAAACTCAGTGCGCCAGTCAGGAGAGCCAAGCATAAGAGCGGAGCTTCCAAAAGCATTTCTAACTTCGCCTTCCCCGGAGCAAGCCGTGCAAGACAGGGCAGAGCACTGGAGACTCTTGATCTCAGGGTTGCGGGTCGAGCTGCTCCACGTTGGGCAAGAGATCTTTTATCAGTGTTCCCGAACCTTGGGCCTCCAGCTGTTTTTGGACTACAATTCCCATCATCCTTGACCACTGGTCTTGCTAGCGAGGGATGATGGGAGTTGTAGTCCAAAAACAGCTGGAGGCCCAAGGTTGGGGAACAGTGGACTAGGTGACCCTCGCCTCCCCCTTCCCGCTCTACAATGAACAAAACGGGGGGGGGCAGCCTTTGCCCAGGCCTTGTCCACGCAAATCCAAAGCCCACGAAGAAGGCGCGCTGCGGCCTAGATGCTGAAGAAGACGCCTCGCCCCTCAGTTTGCCCTCAGGGGAAGGCTGCCCCCCCCGCCCCAAACTCGGCAGGCGCAACTCGGCCGCTCATGTTTGGCCCGCTGCCACCGACCAGAGGCGAAGAGAGGCGGCTGGCAGCCCTCGGTGACTGGGCTGCCGCGCGTGGGTTGTGAGGCATGCTGCCCGTTCATGGAGGGGAAGTGGGGCCTTCCTTCAGCCGCCGGCCGTTGGCGAGCTGAGGCGAATGTTCTCCTCCGCCCGCGTCCCAGAGGCGGCCGTTGGCCGGAGAGCGCGCGCTGACCGCGTGACGGCCTGTCCAGGGGGCAGTGGCAGCCCGGTCGCTAGGCAACCGCCAAGCGGTCCCTGCCGGGGTCGGGGTGGCGAGAGCGGCCGCTGGACGGAGGGCCCCTTTCCCACCATGGAGGCCATTAAGACCACGGCGGTGTTTCAGAGCGTGGACCCCTCGCTTAGGGCCTATTTCAAGAAACACTCCATCCCCGACATCTATGAGGTAAAGGCCCCGCTGAAGGGCCGTTGGGTCACAGTGGCGGTGAACACGGGTGTGCGTGTGAATGGGGGTTTCCGAGGGGGACCGGCCCTCTGCCTCCTGCTCTGCTCTGAATTACTCACTTCTGATCCCGTTATACGCTAGTGATGCTCCCTGTCTCATCCCGTCTGTCTAATCGACCTGAGTTTCGGTGCACACGTCGTCCAGGGACCCAGGGGTAACTTCAGAAGAACAAAGCTGGAACGAGAGAAGAGGAACGAACCCGTGTCATAAAGATGATTTCCTTGCAGAAAACTGGCACGATATAGAATATAGAGAGAGTTTAGTTTCAGGGCAAGCACTGCAGTTTAGGAGATCTTCATTTCTCTTTTCACTAGGGTGTTGGGGGGTGGCAGCATCATTTAAACTGTAATCACGAGGGTAGAAAAGCTAACTCCATCTATACTAAATCCTCTTTTAGGTCACAAAATCTGTTTGCCTGCTTGCTTGTTTATTACAGTACACACACACACACACACACACACACACACACCCCTCTCTCTCACAAAGCTTCAGGTTGCATCATAAAGATACATCTAAAAGCAATATAAATCCATCATTAAAATATTACTATCAAAAGCTTTCAAGATAAGGGCTAGAACCCCAAACATATTTATTATAGAATAAGGCCCTTTGGGGCTTAGTTTTGGATCAGCATCCATAGGATTACAGGCAAAATGAGCTGTCTTTCGAAAACCAGTTCAGTATAGTGTTTGCCTAAAAGATAGACCCATTGAAAAAGTAGTCCCATTGAAATCCACGGATTTATGTAGGGTGGATATCACCCTCTGATATTAAGCCTGCAATCCTAACACCACTTATCTGGGACTAAGTCCCATTTAATTCAGTAGGAATTACTTCTGAGTAGACATTATTAGAACTGTGTTGTAAGTTAGGTTTTAGAAAAGTGCTTATTCTCTGGCTTAAACTTTTCAAGGAAGCTCTTTCCTTAGTTCTTCTATAAGTGTTCCTCAACTGCCTTTCCATAATGCTTCAACCATATCATGTCATATTAATGCCTGGAGAAAATGTAATCTCAAGGGAAGATAGGGAATTATGATAGACACTTGTCAATAATTGCCTTGCATTTTGATTATGCTTCCTTGGAGCATTGGAGTTTGGGAGCATTTTATGTGCATCTGCCCCCACAAAAGGGGTGTTTTGGGTAGATTTCAGATATTCATGTTGAAATAAGATTCAGGTTAGACTAGAAGAAGTTCTTCAATTTCTGAATTCCTAAGTAGTAAGCCTTTTATTTTATTAAACAAAGGGTATCAGTTCATATTCTGCCAAACAGTAGAAACTTTTCCTGGACAATTCTGAAAGATGTTCTCTAAGGTGTTAAGAGTAATATTGGGCACTAATTTGGACTACCAAGTCAAATACCAATGAATTGTTGGGAAGATAGTATTTGTACATGTGATACAAGTAGGGATTTTTGTTATCACACCATGGACACGGTAGTGCTGGCCAATAAAGTGGCATATATAGGCAGAATCTGGGAAGACTAAAATAATTAATTTAATGCAAATGAAATTTGAAATTCAAGTAATATGACTTGGGGCCAAAACAGGAAGATGTTAATGTTAAATTCTGCTTTTAAATTGGAAATACAATGTATTTTTAATCCCTCAGAAAAAAACAGCTTTCTGTTTAATTACTCTCTTGAAAAGCCTCCTCAGTGTTAAAATCGGAATACCAAGTGTGTGAGCAGCCATATGTTCTTATGAAAATATAAGAATACAGTACAAACCCAAGTGGGGTAATCTTATTTGATACCCAGTTAACATCTATTTGGGATTGGGTTCACGTGACGAGGGGTAGCTAGGGAGAGAATAGGGAGTGCAGTTTAATATATAGGCAGTAGGTGGCAGTTACAGACTTAGAGTACTACATTGTCAAACATGAGCTTAAAGATGATGAGATAGGGAACTGGAAAGTATAACTAAAGAATTATGTGCTCTGATTGAATAAGAGATGCTCTCTTCCAAAGGTTGATAGGTGGATCTGTTATTTTGTCAGAATGGAAGTTTAGAGCTGAGTTGTAAGCTTGCTGTGTGTCTCCCCAAAGGTTGACTAAGATGTGGAGTGCATAACACAGACACAATGCTCTCAACTCACCTTTCAGTTTTTGACCACAGTTGATGCTTTTGAATTATGGTTATTATTGATGCTTTTGAATTATTGATGCTTTTGAATTAAGTTGATGCTTTTGAATTATGGGGCTGGAGAAGACTCTTGAGAGTCCCATGGACTGCAAGAAGATCAAACGCATCCATTCTTAAGGAAATCAGCCCTGAGTGCTCACTGGAAGGACAGATCGTGAAGCTGAGGCTCCAGTACTCTGGCCACCTCATGAGAAGAGAAGACTCCCTGGAGAAGACACTGATGCTGGGAAAGATGGAGGGCACAAGGAGAAGGGGGCGACAGAGGACAAGATGGTTGGATAGTGTTTTCGAGGTTACCAGCATGAGTTTGACCAAACTGCGGGAGGTAGTGGAGGACAGAGGTGCCTGGCGTGTTCTGGTCCATGGGGTCGCGAAGAGTCGGACACGACTAAACGACTAAACAACAACAACACCTTTCAGTTTTTGACCACAGTTAGTTGAGCACTTGACTGAGTTTTAGTTACGCGCTTGATGTTGTGCCTGTGGCAACGGGTAAAGATCAGGGATGGGGGCTTTCCCCAGCATTCCCTCACAGGAAACTTTCCAGCCAGTAGTAGGTGAGGCCATGTGGATTTGGCCAGAGACAAAAGCAGGTAGCTCAATGGATGTGACTCTTACCTTTGGACAGAAGGCTACATTCCAGTCACACATCACAAGTTTCTACCCACACAACACTCCATAGTTGATCCAGACAAGCAAGAGGCATTATCACATTTCAAGGACACATTCCAAACAGGCAAAAGCATTTGAGGCTGATGCAGAGCAGAGCTGGTGGGAGATGTGAGCTAAGCCTGAGAGGACTGTTTACTCCATGGCCTCAACCATTAACTAGAGCTAAGCATGCTGGTTATTTGAGGCTGATATTGATCCCACAAAAAGGACATGTCCAGTAAGAATCAAGTTATGATTAAAGAACACAATTTACAGACTAGCTTTTATAAATCAATGAAGCAGGCATCAGAGGATCATGGAGCTGCATGTTAGTTGAAATCACAGTGTAACTGGTTTAGTTTGTATGATAGCTTTGATGAGAGGAGCTGGATGAGGGAACTATTCTGAAGAAAGCAACTGTAAAATAAACACGTTTTCATTTATTTACCAAAATGAAATGGCTTAGAAAAGTATTATCTATTCAATTTAAATAGGGACAAAATATTTTTATATCATTTTACTTTTATTTTATTTATTTTATTTTATTTGTACCCCGCCAATCTGATTGGGTTTCCCCAGCCACTCATAATGCTTTCAGAATAATGTATAAAGGTAATAATATTTAAAAGTTTGTCTTATACTTTTATACATGTATATTTGCGGCCAAGAGGCCAAAAGTGCCATGAGAGCCAAGAAAGGCCAAACATGGCGTCCGGCACACTTCCATTGCGCAGCTTGCAAACTATCCGTGCCGCTCCAAAAGTCCTTCTGCCTCTTCAGCCGGTAGCAGAGCAATCGCAGCAGTCAGAAGCAAATTGCAGCGTGTGGGTAATAAACTCAGAACAGACACAAGGCTTTCCTTAACTTCTTAGCCTTTAATCATGTAGAATAACAGCATAAATCAGACCTGGCGAAAGCTCGCCCATCCTCCCTCTCGCATAGCGTACCAGAGGCAGACTGACACACTCAGAGTCAAACCACTCCCATAAGTGTTTGTAACCCCGCCTCAGGAAAGAGACGTCACACAGAACTCTTTAACTCTGTGAGTTCTGAAACCTATAACACCCCCTCTCGTCTTGCATCCTGAGGGAAACTTTGAACCCCTATTTACAGACCTCTTTGAGTTCAACTCACCTCCCATTGCCTTTTGCCTCCCACTGGCATCTATCCCAGGCAATTGTTGAATTCCTTCCACACTTCCAGAATCACATTGTGCGAAACCAACCCACGCACTGGTGACCTGAAACCTCTCAGGTGGAACACCCTTTGTGGCCCGAGATGAACGCCTGGGCACAAACTGGGGTGCTTCATCTGAACTTCCCTCTGACCCACTGGGGCCAGCAGGTGTGTCTTCTCCGTCAGACTCTTCCCCCTCTGACTTGACGACCCGTCTGTGAGCTTTCTCCATTATGCTAACAGGAGATGAAGGCTCGCTCTTGGACACTCCTTTAACAACTTTTGGAGACGCCCAAACCTGCCCTGAACCCTGATCCTGGACCTGGTCCTCATTACCGGGTTCAGCCTCTGGCTCTCCTTCCTCCTCAGAATCAGACAGACATTCTGAGAGAAAATCAGGACCATCCCTAGGCCGTGACGAACCACCCTGCTCACAGAACTCAGCATGCTTGCTGACCAGCAGCTTGGTCTGATCACCCTCTGGGTATGCAAACTTCCACCCATTTGTTGCAAGATCATACCCACAGAAGATCATGTCCTGGTACCTTGGACCACCCTCCTTCCGTTGTGCTTTTGGTATTGGCACTGAAGCCCTTGAACCAAACGAACGGAAGAAATGCACCTGTGGCTTTTGCTTGTGCAACAGGAAAAACGGTGTGTCACCTACAGCGTGATTGTAGGACCTGTTAAAAACAAAGCTGGCAAATTTCCAAGCTTCACTCCAAAAGCTCTGAGGCAGCCCAGAGTCACACAGCAAAACCCTGACAGCTTCAGCCAGTGTTTCACTCCTGTGCTCTGCCACGCCTCTCTCTTGAGGAAACTTTGCACCCGTCACCTGGTGACGAATTCCCTTTTGCTTGAAAATCTCCTTCAGAGCAGACCCAGTAAACTCAGACCCTCGGTCGCTCTTGAACCCTTGCACCTTGGTGGAGAACCTTAGTTCCACCTCCGCAACCCAATCCTGGATCAGTTGCGCCGCCTCCCCCTGCGATTTGAGAGAGAAACACCATGAATTCTGAGAAAAATCATCTGTCACCGTCAGCAGAAACCTGGCCCCACCCAGACTCTCACACTTCATGGGTCCTGCAAGGTCTGTGTGAACCAGCTCAAAAGGTTTTGTGGTTACCCTCTTTATCCCGGGAAAACTTCACCTTTGAACCTTTCTGCATGCCCTGCACTCTAGGGATCCCTCACATGGTGTGATTTTACAACCTTTGGTGCAGCTGGGCAACCTCTTAACATCCTCCAAACAAGCATGAGACATTCTCTTGTGCCATACATGAACACATGAATCATGGCTGGGAACACTAGCACACTGCGCCTGTGCTCTTTTGGTATTCCCCCCACCCTCCAGAGGTGATTCCAGAACAAAGAGATTGTTCTTGCTTTCCATGTTGACAAGTTGTCTCCCCCCTCTGAAAATGGAACAGGCATCATTTTCAAAGCAAATTTTGTACCCCTGCTTCACAAGAGCAGGTACAGATAACAGGCAACAATGCATTTCCGGCACAACGTAGACCTCTAGCTCCGCCTGTAAAAAGGAAAGATAGATATTAGCAACAGCAGAAACTGGCTTTTGTGTCCCATCAGCGAACGTAACAGTCATTCCAGCTGAAACAGCCCTGCAATTCCGCAGCCCCCCAGCAGGTGGCGTTCCAATCAGGTGATGACTGGCTCCGGAATCCACCACCCACTGCACAGCTGTGTCCCTGCTGGAATTGTCCTGTAGCGTTGCCATGGCAACAAACGTCCTGCTGCTCCTGTCCTTGGCAGCATCCGTAACCGCAACTCTTTCAGTTGCCCTGAAGACTGGACTTATCTCAGCGTTCCCAGACAGCTCTGCAGCACTTATCTCCCTCTGCAGCAGGTGGCTGGCCTTGAAGCCTTCAGCTCTGTCCGGCTTCTCAGGCTTCGGCTTACGACGCAAACAACTCTTGGCAGCCTTTGGGAAAAAGAGGCTTCTCTGAGCTTTTACTGCTCACCGCCCCCCACTTCTCACAGGGCTCCCAGGACGCTTTCCTGCACCCCTTCTGGTGGGTAAAGGGCTCCCAGCAGCTTGCCGCTTTCCCGGCTCCTCACGCAGACACGTTGCAGCACCCACGCAGCTTTTAGACTCTGCAAAACTGGCAGCAACAGCAGCAGTGGTAATAGTCCCTTCGCCCCCCTCTGGGGCCCCACAGCTTTTCCCAGCTGTGCATCGGCTCTCACGAAGGTGGTCAGCGCCATCTTGCCTTTCCTGTTCTGATGCAGCCATCTCCCGGCCCTTGCTTCCGCCTCCAGCCTCACAAGCTTCCTGGAGCGCTAGCCAAGCAGCCTCTGGCTTCCTGGCACCCAGAACAATAGGCTTCAGATCAGCAGCCACGTTCTCAGCCAAAAACGTAAGCACACGCTTCTCAGCTTCACGTTGGTCTGCAACCGCCCCAGCTGGTGGCTGGACCATTTCCCAGAGCCTGGCTCCGACTAAGGACAACTCTGCTAAATAACTCCACTCCAGCCACGTCTGGCTGGTCAGCTTTGCACATGGCAGCTTAAGCTCAAAGCCATGTTCCTGGGACTGAGCCATCTCCTCCCCCGGGGTAAGCGTACTCACGACTGGCAGCAGCTTCCTCTGGCCTCCAGCAGATCGGCTCCTCCTTCCCAGCGAGCTTCTTCCAGCCTCAAAGAAAGCTCCAGAGCTCCAGCTGGCCCCAGCAACCTTTCAGCTGGCTTGCTGGCTTCCCCCACACGTGGGACGTTGCTGCAAAGGCTTCTAAGCGTTGGCAAACACCCATGACCTATGCGGCCAAGAGGCCAAAAGTGCCATGAGAGCCAAGAAAGGCCAAACATGGCGTCCGGCACGCTTCCATTGCGCAGCTTGCAAACTATCCGTGCCGCTCCAAAAGTCCTTCTGCCTCTTCAGCCAGTAGCAGAGCAATCGCAGCAGTCAGAAGCAAATTGCAGCGTGTGGGTAATAAACTCAGAACAGACACAAGGCTTTCCTTAACTTCTTAGCCTTTAATCATGTAGAATAACAGCATAAATCAGACCTGGCGAAAGCTCGCCCATCCTCCCTCTCGCATAGCGTACCAGAGGCAGACTGACACACTCAGAGTCAAACCACTCCCATAAGTGTTTGTAACCCCGCCTCAGGAAAGAGACGTCACACAGAACTCTTTAACTCTGTGAGTTCTGAAACCTATAACATATTTGTTATATTTATTACAATTCCAAATGTGGATTTTTCATTGCAGGCCCTGTTGTGTGGTCTGCTAGCTATGCGTCCAGATGATCCACTCAAGTTTTTAGAAGAAAAGCTCAAAGAAGTAATGGAAAAAGGTCTATATAGTATTTTATGGTATGTATGATATGTATGATATTTTGTCTGTGTAGACTATAAATAGTGTGGCAAGCTGTAGAATACTGAAATATGGGGAAATGTTATTTAGGGTTCAATCCTGAAGCGAGTGGGAATACAAAAAAGTTCTACAGCTTTATCCTACTCTACTGCAGAGATGAAGTGAAGGCAGAGGAATGCTTTTCTGTTCTTTCTGTTTTGTGTTAATGTTTTTCTTACATTTTTCACTCTAATTGAAAACAAGTCCTTGAGTTTGGGGTCGGAGGAACCCAAGAAAAGTAGTTCTGGTTAACTTCAGCATCCATGATGAGACCACCTCTAGTTCTACTTCAAATCTCATTACTTCCATGGCAACCATAAGACAGTCTCAAGTTGCCAGTGCTCCCAACATACAAGACAGAACATATGTCATTGTTCTGTATGGTGAGATGGTTGTCTGAATGTAGGGGGTATCTCTGTGACCATCATTGTCATGATCAGATCACTTCTAGGTGAGGTTTAGAATTTTGGCATCTACAGTACTTCCCCCTGCATTACTAGTAACGTGAAGTGCTCTTAACCCGCTGGTTTAAGCATAATTTCCATGTGGATGGGACCTTGTGGGGAGGCCCCTCCAGGGACATGTTTTGTTTCTGAATTTTCTGCTTAGAAATGCAAATTAAGTAGTATATAGATGTCTTAAAATAGTAACTAAAATAAATGTACACTTTGAGTCACTACATTGGCAGCCCATGTGTTAAAGTTTGAGATAAGATGAAAGAAACCAGATTGGGAACATAGTGATGATGAACTGTAGTTCAATTTCTGAATTGTTTCAGTTTTTAATTGGTTTTGTGCCAAGCAACAAAAGCGATAATTTAAAAGTTATTTCTGCAGGTTATTCTTGGAGAGTGCTTGAATGTGTTTCAGAATTGCTCAGAAATGAGCAATATTTAGAATGGTTCTGTCCAATTTGCCTCATTCCTCCTCCCCCCGGCAAGGATATGCAGACAGAGGCTTTACATTTTATCTATATGAAAAACTTTTTTCAACATTACCATAGAAGAATTAGAATTGTCAAAATAATGGACTGTTTAAAATATATCAGCAGTAAAGTTGGATTTTTGGAAAACAGTGTTTCCCATGATGTAGTAACATTTATTGTTTTTATTTCATTCCATAAATATTTAACAGTGGCTGCATTCATGTGTAATGATATGCCAGACTTTCTGGCTTATTGCAGTTTATTAGGAATAAGCAGTGTGCTGGTGAATGCTGCCTATTCGTTGCTCCTCTGGCAAGAGTCCAAGCAAACAAACCAGGAAGCATCATTATTTGTTGCTCCAGGGTTTCAAGCTGGTTAGGATGTAACAGAGGACCAAAGCTTTTAGGTTTGTCTATCCCAATCACACCAAGGGTGGTATGCACCAGCATGCTGTTTATTCCTAATAAACAGCAAAAGTTGGCCTATAATTACATACAAATGTGACCAATGTCTCTGAACACAACGTTAAGTGTTAGTTACCTGAAAAATTGTTTGGGGCACTTCCAAACACACACTTTTAGGTTAGGATTCAGTCACATACTAGTAGAACTAGTAGAATGAATGCTCAATAAATAGCTAACATCATCTAGTCTCCCTGCAAACAAATCAGAATGAATGCTCAATAAACAGATCATCTGGAAATCACCTTTAAAACTATGGTTCACTAATACAGTATAATTTAATAATGGTGCTATTAGTGTTAACGGAAAATGGAAACTTATGTAATCATGTGATGCATACAAAAAGTAATATTATTATACCCCCGCCAGGGACACGTGTATTGATCCAGACCTAAGTCTAAGACTAAAAGCGATTTCAGATACATATTTACACACCCTTTTGGGACTGGATGATGATCAACTAGTAAGTATTTCTAAACCTTTTTGGCTAACTCTGAGTGGAGTAAGAACAGTTGCTATCCTCAAATGTATTTTACAAAGAATTATACTTTTTTTGGATTCATACTTTGCTTTGTCTGAAAGTATTGAGAGAAAAAAAGATCCCTACTCCCAAAGACCTCATAATATAAAGCAGCAGTCCTTAACACAGCTACTCTGTACCCATTAAACTCAGAGGGACATCTGGATAAACATGATCAAGATTGTGCTGCCAGAAAATATGGCATAAGGAAATAATTTAATAAAATTTCAAGTTAAATCTTACACTTGGTCCTCCAGATTGTTGGCATCCTTTTCATTTTAGGTTCTGAAAATGGATTGTGCAATTGGAACAGTAAAGCTAAAGCTAAAGGACCCCTGGACGGTTAAGTCCAGTCAAACTTGACTATGGAGCGCAGCACTCATCTTACTTCAGGCTGAGGAGCCAGCGTTTGTCCGCAGACAGCTTTCTGGGTCATGTGGCCAGTATGGTTCCCCTGATGGGCAAAAATGCGCCACCAATAATTTGGGCGTTCCGGCCCTCTTTTGGTGCCTCATATGGACCTTTTGAGCACATCAGTATTGTGGAGGGCAGTTTAACCCTTTCATAATCTCAACTAGCAGTAAGTGATTGGAGGGGAAAGTGTGCCCAAAAGAGAGTAGAGGCAGGTGGCTTTTGTTTTTTGTTTTTGTAAAACAATCATGGGCAGACATCAGACTTTCGGGTTCAACCTAGTTATTTTACTATAACTCTGAGATCCATTGACCAGAGCAAAGTGCAAAATAGTGGCAGGAAAGAGGGCAGCATACTTTGAACTAAAAGGCAGGATGTTTCTGAGCAAGCCCATTCTCAGCTTAGTCCAGGATTTTATTTTCTATACCAAAGCTAACTTCAAAGTCCTGTCACACAAAAATCTATTTCTGTTCCACCCCACTCCACCCCAAAGCTTTTTTCATCTCAACCACCTAATTTAGAGGAGGGAAGCCTTTTTGTGTGTGTCTATAGTTATGTAGTTGGGACGCGGATGGTGCTGTGGGTTAAACCACTGAGCCTAGGACTTGCTGATCAGAAGGCCAGCGGTTCGAATCCCCGTGACGGGGTGAACTCCTGTTGCTCAGTCCCTGCTCCTGCCAACCTAGCAGTTCGAAAGCACGTAAAAGTGCAAGTAGATAAATAGGTACCACTCCGGCGGGAAGGTAAACGGCGTTTTCGTGCACTGCTCTGGTTCACCAGAAGCGGCTTAGTCATGCTGGCCACATGACCCGGAAGCTGTACGCCGGCTTCCTCGGCCAGTAAAGCGAGATGAGCGCCGCAACCCCAGAGTCAGTCACGACTGAACCTAATGGTCAGGGGTCCCTTTGCCTTTACCTTTATAGTTAAGCAATTTGGAGTCTGAATCCTTGCTGATCTACTGCAAGTTACCCAAGAGATCTACCACTAGATCTTGATCTGCCCACCCTGGTGTAAAAGGACAAGAAGTAACTGCAGCTGTGGTTATTACTGTTATTACAAATGCATAGGCTCATGAGTATTGTACTTACTTCCTCAAACAATGAACTGCTTTAACAATGGCTGAATTTCCTTTTACTTCACAATCTAAACTATTGGTTGCATTATTGTTTGATTTCATGCAATCAGAATATTGTAACAGCTGACGATGGAAGTGAAGTTAGTTATAATTATCTGGAGGGGGCCGAATCTAGTGTTCAATCTCTTAACATAACTGTCAACAAATGTACAATTACATTTTACAATTAATTATATGACAATACCAACATAGAAAGTTTTATTTGTGTACATATTCTCCATTTTGATGCAATTTTATTTATGCATTTACATTTTAGATGACTGAGGATTTATGTGATAAAGCATGGGACTTTTATAGCATTAACTTAAAGAGAATGTGCTTTGAGTAAGTATTTGGTTACCTTTAGCATATAAAAACATTATGTGTACTTCATTTCCAATTCAACATGATCACATACTAAATAGGCTATTTAGTGCAAAGTCACATATTGGGTAGTCATGGCATCTTAAGAAAAATGTTAGAAAAAATATATTGTTCCTTCGACTTGCTCCTTACATTTTGTTTGAATTAATATATATATACAGTGGTGCCTCGCAAGACGAAATTAATTCGTTCCGCAAGTTTTTTCTTCTTGCGAGTTTTTCGTCTTGCGATGCACGGTTTCCCATAGGAATGCATTGAAAATCAATTAATGCGTTCCTAGGGAAACCGACTTCAGACCAGGTCTGGGGACATTCTGTCCCCCGACCTCTTCTGAAGGCTGGGGGGGGGGACAAGGGCTTTTCTTCCCACCCCCAGCATTTTAAAAAACCCCGGGACAGCGGAGGGCTTCTCCGCTGTCTGGGGCGATCTTAAAATGCTGGCGGGCGGCATTTTAAAATCGCCCCGGACAGCGGAGGACTTCTCCGCTGTCCGGGGTGATTTAAAAACCCCTGGGAAGGCAGGCAGGGGGGACAAAGACTTTTGCCCCCCGCCAGCCTTCAGAAGAGGTCCTCCGCTGTCCGGGGCGATTTAAAAGCCCCTGGGAAGGCAGGCAGGGGGGACAAAGACTTTTGCCCCCCGCCAGCCTTCAGAAGAGGTCCTGGACCTCTTCTGAAGGCTGGCGGGGGGCGAAAGTCTTTGTCCCCCCTGCCTGCCTTTAAAAGCCCTCCCGGAAGAGCGGAGAAACGTGCTGCGTTTCTCCGCTCTCCCGGGAAGGCAGGCAGGGGGGACAAAGACATTTGCCCCCTGCCCTCCTTCAGAAGAGGTCCAGGACCTCTTCTGAAGGCTGGCAGGGGTGAAAGTCTTTGCTTCCCCCCGCCTGCCTTCAAAAGCTGTCCGGCCAAGGCTTCGCGGACCTCTCCGCAAGCAGCGGCAGCGCTGCCGCTGCTTGCGGTGAGTTGCCGGCATGCCGAAGCCTGCGCGCGCTGAGATCAGCGCGCCCAGGCTTCGCGGACCTCTCCGCAAGCAGCGGCAGCGCTGCCGCTGCTTGCGGTGAGTTGCCGGCATGCCGAAGCCTGCGCGCGCTGAGATCAGCGCGCCCAGGCTTCGCGGACCTCTCCGCAAGCAGCGGCAGCGCTGCCGCTGCTTGCTGAGTGTTGCCGGCATGCCGAAGCCTGCGCGCGCTGAGATCAGCGCGCCCATGCTTCGCGGACCTCTCCGCAAGCAGCGGCAGCGCTGCCGCTGCTTGCTGAGTGTTGCCGGCATGCCGAAGCCTGCGCGCGCTGAGATCAGCGCGCCCAGGCTTCGCGGACCTCTCCTGCCTTCAAAAGCCGTCCGGGATAGCGGGAAGCGCTTCCCTGCTATCCCGGACTGCTTTTAAAATGCTGGCGGTGGGGAGCAAAGCCTTTCGGCCCCCGCCAGCCTTCCTGGACCTCTTCTGAAGGCCGGAGGGGGGGGGAAAGGCTTTGCTCCCCACCGCTAGCATTTAAAAGAGGTCCCCGGAGATTTCCCTATGGGCTTTCATCTTGCGAAGCAAGCCCATAGGGAAATTCGTTTTGCGAAGCGCCTCCAAAACGGAAAACCCTTTCGTCTAGCGGGCTTTCCGTCTTGCGAGGCGTTCGTCTTGCGGGGTACCACTGTATATATTGATGTATATATTCCCCATATACTTCCTATGAAATTGCATTTTCCCATTTTCTTTCATTCAGGTAAAAACTTCATTAATATATTGTTTATTGTGGCTTAATAATTGCAGTGCCTGGACAGAGTATTGTTCTAAGAGGAAAATTTCTAGGGAAATTTTTCAGAGAAAGATGGCTTTTGCAAAACACTTCTATGAACAAAAACAATTAAAATTAAAGTTACAGCAGTGGAGCGATTGGGTGAAGTTTCGCCATGAACAACACAAAAGTAAGTCTGGCACTAACAGGTGGCCAATTTGGTTACAACTATTTACTATCTCATAGATCACAACAGGTGCTGCTTGGGCCTCTTGAACAGTACCATTAGATGTATTTTCAAAATGTGAGATTCATTTTGACATTGGGATTTGACTCACTATAATTGGTTTTATTTGACTGCTACAAAGTCCCAAAAGCATATTTCATTTTTATTCATTACAGCTTGCCCAGGGTCATTTAAAAATGTATTAGTATAATTCTTCCCCCCCCCTTAAATGGTTCTTATATCTACTTCACTAGGCCAAAAAACTTTCTGTTATTTGACCTTAAAGATCTAGCTGCTTTTACTAGTAACTGTTTACTTATCCTACATTGTATATCAGGATATGGTTAAAGATGAGATTTCTATCAAATGACATCAGTTTTTTTAATTTTATATTGTATAGATATGTATATGTGTGTGTGTGTATTCCACACACACACAAACAGTCAGCATATGCAACAGAACATGTCTCCAAGCATCTCCACCAACATAATAAAAATGATAAAACATTGGTTGAGTGAGAATACCACTGATATAAACCCTTCTTTCATATCTACATGTATGAGTAGGCAAATTACAGTACCGTAAATCTGAATCCATTTTGTTAAAAAAGAAGGAAATAATACCCAATTTTTCATCAATTTCCTTTGAGGCCTGGTTCAGAAGATCAAATTACCGTATTTTTCGCTCCATAAGACGCGCCAGACCATAAGGCGCACCTAGTTTTTGGAAGAGGAAAATAAGGGGGGGGATTCTGAATCCCGTAAGCCAGGACAGCAAGCGGGATCACTGCGCAGCGATCCCGCTTGCTGTCCTGGCTTATAGGATAGCCGCACGAAGCCTCTCCCGGGCAGCGGGATGAAGGCTCCTACTGCCCGGGAGAGGCTGCCCGCGGCTAAGGAAGAAGCCAGGACAGTCAGCGGGATCGCAGCACAGTGATCCCGCTGGCTGTCCTAGCTTATAGGACAGCGCTGGCTGTGCGCGCTTATAGGCGCGCAGCCTCTCCCGGGCAGTGGGAGCCTTCATCTCCTGCCCGGGAGAGGCTGTGCGCGACTAAGGCTCCCTTAAGAGCCGCACTCCCCTTAAAGAGCGCACGGAGTGTGTGTGCGGCTCTTGGGGGCTTTCCCCCGAGGAGGGCAGCCCTTCTCCCTCCTCGGGGAAAAGCCCCGAAGAGCCGCACACACGCTCCACGTGGCTCATTAAAGGGAGCGCTGAGCAGAGCCTCCCGCCTGCATTCGCTCCATAAGACGCACACACATTTCCCCTTAATTTTTAGGAGGGGAAAAGTGCGTCTTATGGAGCGAAAAATATGGTAGCCATCTTTATTATAGTTAGTTAAAACAGGCCAGGATAAAACTGTGGTTTGCTCAGGGTCCCTAATGGAAGGCCTGTGGGCACCATGGTACCCTTGGACTCCTCTCCTCTTTGTACCTGCCAAGGCCAAACTACTATTTTTTTTTTAAAAAAAATGTGTTTATTTGACTATTTGTTGGGGGTTGCCTGCTTTGGGGGGACGCGTGGCCTGCTTATTTTTGGCTTCGTTTATTTGTTTTTGAGTATATTTATGTCTTTTACCTGGTTATTTGTGAGTAGATGGGTTCTGAACATCACCAGTTTTTTTGTCCATGAAATTGATATTTTAGAATTCCCACAACAGCCCCCAAACTCGAAAAGTTTGGAGACTGCTGGTTCAGATCACTATCTGAACCATTTTTGAAAGTCAACCAACTTCCTTGCTTCAGTCAAAAGGTAATGGAAATTATTGCTTGTTGATAAAGTTCCTGCTTTTCCATTTATGTTGTTTATCCAGCAGCAGCAAGGAGGCTTGGGAGAATCTTTGATTGCTCTTTACAGATGATTGTCTTAAAGGCTTGGCGAAAACAGACTGGCTTTACTAAAAAGGCTAAAAAATACAGTGAGGTATGTTTTCTATGATGTTTTGATTATCTCTGTGCTCTTCCAATACATGTTATAGAAATTAATTTTTGTTGTTGTTGTTTAGTCATGTCTGACTCATTGTGACCCCATGGCCCAGAGCACGCCAGGCACTCCTGTCTTCCACTGTCTCCTGCAGTTTGGTCAAACTCATACTAGTAGCTTCGAGAACACTGTCCAACCATCTTGTCCTCTGTCGTCCCCTTCTCCTTGTGCCCTCCATCTTTCCCAACATCAGGGTCTTTTCCAGGGAGTCTTCTCATGGGGTGGCCAAAGTATTGGAGCCTCAGCTTCAGGATCTGTCCTTCCAGTGAGCACTCAGGGCTGATTTCCTTCAGAATGGAGAGGTTTGATCTTCTTGCAGTCCATGGGACTCTCAAGAGTCTCCTCCAGCACCATAATTCAAAAGCATCAATTCTTCGGCGATCAGCCTTCTTTATGGTCTAGCTCTCACTTCCATACATCACTACAGTGGACACTCAGGTTGCGAATGTGATCTGTGCGGGATATACATTCGCAACTCGCAGTGTTCGCAACTCGCAACGTTCGCAACTCGCAGCAGCGCGTCTGCGCATGCGCAGGTTGCGATTCGGCACTTCTGCGCATGTGCAAAGCATGATTTAGTGCTTCTGTGCATGTGCGACCACCGAAACCTGGAAGTAACCTGTTCCGGTACTTCCGGGTTTCAGCAGGTCCGTAACCTGAAAAAACGCAACCTGAAGCATCTGTAACCCGAGGTATGACTGTACTGGGAAAACCATAGCTTTAACTATATGGACCTTCATTGGCAAGGTGATATCTCTGCTTTTTAAGATGCTGTCTAGGTTTGTCATTGTTTTTCTCCCAAGAAGCAGGCGTCTTTTAATTTCGTGACTTCTGTCACCATCTGCAGTGATCATGGAACCCAATAAAGTAAAATCTCTCCCTGCCTCCATTTCTTCCCCTTCTATTTACTACATTTTGCCAGCTGCTCTGATCTGAGTGGGTATCCACAGTGCAAAGTATGTAATTAAAAATGCAAGTGAGCAAATACTGATTCATTTCCATAGAAACTATGTGCCTCATGACTGGCCAGTAGTCCATAGATTAGGAGATTTACAGGTTCAGCACAGATGGGACAGTTTATACAGAAAAAAATTGGCCACCATATCTCATTCTGAAACCACTTTGTTTTTCTATAAGACCATGCAGCAGGGTTTACTACTCTTCGGTTCTGTACTAGTCTACAAAACTGGAAGGGTGGAAGATTTAATTTGGCTTAAAAAGTCCTAACCCTTCACAGTTTCAAAGTTCTAAATAAAAATAGTTTGGGTTTGCTGTGCCCATGTGTTTTCATGTGAAGGCCGTTTTTCCAGTGCAAATTGTATTAGCTGAGAAATATGACAACTAATGGGATCCAAGCTGTAGTGGAAGTGACAGCTTCAAAAAAGCAATTTTCCTCAGGACCACGGTAGGGGAGGAAAGTTACATTTTCCTTTGAGGCCTGTTCTATGCCCATTAATTATTACCTCCCTTAACTGAAGCAATTTATATTTTAAAAAAAATCATGTTAGATGCAAAGACACATTTAAAGTCTCATGTAGTTTGAGAACTGATTTCTTACATTTGTCAAAACCAGACTGTAGTTTGAATAAAGAAAATGTTAACTTTGTTGTCCTTTTTGTGTACATTTGTCAGCAAATAGTAGAAGATTCTGAAGATTTTCTTAGTGTTGACTATCATGGTGAGAAACGTGAAAAACGTGAAAGGCATGAAAAGCATGAAAAACAGGAGAAAGAAAAAAGTCACTCTTTAAAACATTCACATGAAGATTATATATCAGCACCACCTATAAAATCTGGCAGAGATCATATGGCAAAACTGCCAGAAAGAGCAGTGGCCCAGGTTAGTAAGCACAGTTTAATAGGTTTAATTCAAGCTTCTCTGAAGGCTCAGGTATGTCCACAAGGGAGAAACCTAAAGGCAGCAAAAGGCACAAAATTGACTAGCAGATACCAGATATAGTAGGTTTGCCAGAAGCTTTGCAGGAGCTTTGGTCAAGTTGTTAGAGCCATTTGAGTCCCAATTAGTGGAGCCTCAGACATAGTTCTTTTTATCTGTTATGGACACTCTCCAGTTAGAATGTTCTATCTGCATTATTAAGTTTTTAAACAGTACTAAGCTGCCACTTATGTATACTTTATCCCAAAGCAGCAGGGGCAGTGGGTGGGGTGGGGAGTGAAATGAACATCCACCCTGTGGACTCCCACCAGGTTGGAGAGGTGGAAGTGACCCCCTGCTCAAGTGGGGGGGGGTCATTAAGACAAAGGAATCCCTTTAAGTGTTGATCTTGTGGAGAAAATGGGAGTTGGCGTGGTTGGGGGAGGGATATTCACTGTAAAATGACAAGAGGTGAATCACTCCGAGTAGTTACCCTAAATGTCATAGGATTAGATATCCTAGTCACACTTTAGAGTGATGAGACATCTGAAAAAGGAATACTCGGATACAGTGCTGCTCCAAAAGACTTATCAGTGGTGGGAGAAACATTACATGCAGCAATTGGAAAAGGGCATGGATTGCAGAGCACTATGCAGCAGCTATATTTTTTGAACCAGGAGGAATCTAAAAGCTAAAGATCAACAGTGGACAAGTTTTAAGCTTAAGTAATGCTTTGCACGTTACTGTGTTTTTGTGTTTTGAAATTAGGTCTTCCATTATTTAACTATAATCGATTTGGCAAGATGTGCTCAGGTTAACCGAAATTGGAAAGCAATGACACAAATGGGTTCAGTATGGAGTAATGTAAGTACAGATGCTTGAAACCAAGATTTAGTACCAATTTTTTTAAAAAAAAATGAATGGAAGAGAAAACCCAATAAATAATGTTTCTCATTGTTAAATTAGCCTATTGTCCTTCAAATTTAATAGTGCTGTCAGAGAATAGTTATGTATCATATGATAATGATTGCTTTGGCTAGAATTGTTGCACAGACGTAATTTTCTTATAGCCTCTTATTTAAACATACACATTTTGGATAGAGATAAACTAATTTTGATTTGGCTATCTAATATTCCAATTCCAATTAATCAAAAATTGTATTTCCCATATGTTTGAGGGATTAATGTTAATTAAATTGATGGCAAAGTTTTAGAGGGCCCCCTTTGTTCTTGAAAAAGGGCTTCAATCCAACAGAGGCTGGAGATAGATTTTTATCCAATTCTCCCTTCCTCATGCAGTCTCCCATGCCTTTCCAGGACTGTTCAGACAGGAGTGTCAAGGAAAAGCATGGGGTTTGAGCCCAAAATCTTTTGTGCAGAACCCTAGATCTCAGTCAAGGGGTGGGGGCACCACTGCTGCTTTAGCAGGTGCTGAAGATTGCTGGGTGAGAATCATCATTCATTGGCTGTGCAGGAGGAATATGCTACCACTGTGCAAAGGCAAGCCTCAACATTACTAATTAGCTGCGGGAAGCCCAAGAAGGCAAAGAGCATTATGACTGGTACATTGTTGTAATAGTAGGACTCATTAGTTGAATCTGGCCCACAACTAAATAAGTAGAAGACTGTAAAAAAAACACAAAAGTGATTAGAAAAACAGTGAAAGACAGATGAATAATTTGTGAATAATAAATATGGAAAATGTGAATGATTCCTAACAATGAACATTTGAAGGGCTCTGCATAATCCCCCCCTCCCCTAGAATATCATCTTTCACAAGGTTGGGAGAATTTCTCTCTTCAAGCTTAAAACTAAGCTAAGCTGCTTCTTCAAGTGGCTGTTTAGCTGTGCTCAGTAGCTAGGCTGCCAAGCACTTTGGAAATTGGGGGCCAGAATGTTTCATGGAAATGACATCAAGTGCAGCTGACTTGGAGTAGTGACTCAGCTTTGTTTTAAATTAAGAAGAAATCAAATCTTGTGTCAATCTCATTGAAAGATTACACCCAACCCCCCCAAAAGTACTATCCCAATGTGCCACAATATTGCGGGCTGAAACTTTACCCCAGTACTAGGCATTTGTAGGCATATGAAGCACATAATTTCTGCCTCTGTATTGGGAAGATTCCTAGATTTAGCATAGATATTGTGCTGTACATCTCTACCCATATCCTGTTGTCATTGGACTTCAATGTATTTTCATTTGATTCTCCTGAACTGCTCACCTTCCAGAAGTGAAACAATTGTTTGTATTTTTAGGATGACAGATTTAATGAACCTTAACATTTGTAATGTATAGAACTCTTTGTTGTTAATTATATCGAAATATATTTTCTGTTTAGATTAATTTTTCTGCAGTAAAAGAGAAGATTAAAGATAACATAGCCGGAAATATTTTGCTGAAGTGGCATACTAATGTGCTGAATTTGAATCTTCGTGGTTGTTCTACTCTTTATTGGTTTACTTTTAAAAATATTGGTAAGCATTTTATTAAATTTCTAATTTCTTTTAATTGTCTTGCTGTTTATGTGTCCATCTTTTTGAAATACAGCCATACCTCGGGTTGAATATGTTTCAGGTTGAGCATTTTTGGGTGACCTGGAAGTAACGGAATGCGTTACTTCTGGGTTTCGCTGCTTGCGCATGCACAGACGCTCAAAATGACATCACGCGCATGCGCGGAAGTGGCGAATTGCGACCTGCAGATGCGGGGTGCGTTTGCTTCAGGATGCAAACAGGGCTCCGGAACGGATCCTGTTCGCATCCAGAGGTACCACTGTATTCAGAAAAATGTATAATAGGTTTACAATTATGTAAATTCACATACAGTGGTACCTCGGGTTACATACGCTTCAGGTTACATACACTTCAGGTTACAGACTCTGCTAACCCAGAAATATTACCTCGGGTTAAGAACTTTGCTTCAGGATGAGAACAGAAATTGTGCTCTGGCAGCGCGGCAGCAGCAGGAGGCCCCATTAGCTAAAGTGGTGCTTCAGGTTAAGAACAGTTTCAGGTTAAGAACGGATCTCCAGAACGAATTAAGTACTTAACCCGAGGTACCACTGTACTTTGAGGCCCCAAATGAAGTTCCCAGATGAGGGTTATCCTTTTGTAACTAGCAAGGGGTAAGGAGAAGGAACCGAGCTACCCGTAGGCCGGCACTGCTGGAGATCACTCAACTTGAGACTTGTGAGACAACCACACTTTCAACTGCAGATGCTTCAGCCAGTCATCTCAGTGTTGGTTGGCCTGGAGAATAAGCAGCAAGGGCAGAGTGCAGATAGAGTAAATAATCCAAGTGAAGACTCAGTATTTTTCTTCCCACCTGACAATCTTACCCAGTTTTGGGTTTTGCTGTCTTTGTAGCAAATTCTTCTTCTTATGCTCTGTGGTTGTTTGTGGGGGTTTATTTTTACATTTTCATTTCTCATAACTAGATTGGACCTCAGACTGGAACCATAGTGAAGAGTAAGCAGAGGTGGATGCCAAGCAAAATTCCATGGGACTTTCTTAAGAAGCCCTGGGGATAAGGACTACAGGCTAGTTCCTATGTTCACTAGATAGGTTGGCAGCAAACTGCACCTCCAAGTTATTTACTGCAGGCAGCTTAATTCATATCCTCCGATTCCTCTGAGAATATATGAAGTCTGCTATTAAACAGACCATCAGCAACATCTAAATAGCTAGCTAGGATTGGTCTCTTAGGGCTGTGTAGCTCACTATGGAGGGCCAACATGGGAGAGCAGGGTGGTCCTCCCACTGGAGAAGGATGAAGATTGACCCTGCCTACATGTTCCAGACATTGTAGTCAAGGTTGAGACAAGGTAGGAACAGGACACACAAGTCTGAAACAGGAAACACTTCCATAGATTCCATAGCTTTTATAAGCACACAAATGTGTTCTGGAGGTTCCCCCAAACTTCTGGAGCGAATTGGGGAGGGGCATGGGGAGGCAGGGAATTCAATTGCACAAGTGAAAATCCTTGCACTGATACAAGTTAGCTGTATACTACTCATTGTTTTCACTTCCTCTTAAAGATTGTCCTACACATGTTAATTTTTCCATCCTCTGTGCAATCAGCTGAAAAGTGGACAATAGTACAGTGGTGCCTCGCAAGACGAAATTAATTCGTTCTGCGAGTTTTTTTGTCTTGCGATTTTTTCGTCTTGCGAAGCACGAGTTGCTCCTCAAAATCAAGTCGCAACTGTTTTAAGAAAAAGGAAACAAACTTGCAAGATGTTTTCGTCTTGCGAAGCAAGCCCATTGGGAAATTCGTCTTGCGAAGCAACTCAAAAAACCAAAAACTCTTTCGTCTTGTGAGTTTTTCATCTTGCGAGGCATTCGTCTTGCAAGGTACCACTGTATCTCTTATTGTATCTCTTGTTTAGGCTCATTACACAGCATAAAGCTGCTAGAAGCTTGTTTCAGCTTGTTAAGTTTCAAGGACACTAAAGTAAATTACCAGATTTTTTTATTTATTAAAATTTGAAGACTGTGCTGCTGAATGAACGCACTCCATTCTACTCTGCCTTGAGCCCAAGTATTTTCTTTTTTTCTTGGTTTCTCTTGTTTCAAATCTTTGATCTGTCTTAGGTGTTCCATACCTACAGTCTTTCTTTTTGGTTCATTGGAAATTTTACAGTACATTTAAACTCTTTGGAGCTTTTGAGTTGAATCAGACTCCCTTTCACATTATTGGTAAAATAATGAAGGTAATTCATATGCTATGGCCTTTTTGTTATTGTTCTGGAAGACACACATTTTAAAATTAAGGTTCTATGATGAAGAAATGTTAACCAAAACAATATAATATTACAAACATTATACATACTCCTGCATTTAAGACTATAATGCAGATGAATACAGTGCAATATTTGTTTCAAGTTTAATATATGAGTATGATAAACTTTGTATCTGAAAAGTCTGAAAATACTTGGACATGTAAATCATTTTATCCTTTGTGTAGCTGAGAATTGAGCATCCTCCCCTTTCCCTTCATGATTAAGTTTTTGTGCCAATAAACTGTATCATGGCTCAATTGAGGTAGGTTTTTTAAAAATAATAATTTAGGAACAAAGCGAGTTTTTCGTCTTACAATAAGAGATACAGTGGTACCTTGCAAGACGAATGCCTCGCAAGACGAAAAGTTATTTTTCAGATTTCATTTTGAGTCACAACCACCACTAGTCCTACTGCTACAATTCAGGTCTATATACCCTTATTGATGTTCCCACTTTCTTGGGCATATTGTAATTAATTAATTATTCATCCATGAATTGCCAGTTGAAGAAGTTACAGATAGGTAGCCGTGTTGGTCTGCCATAGTCAAAACAAAAAAAATTCCTTCCAGTAGCACCTTAAAGACCAACTAAGTTAGTTCTTGGTATGAGCTTTCGTGTGCATGCACACTTCTTCACACTTCTGAAGAAGTGTGCATGCACACGAAAGCTCATACCAAGAACTAACTTAGTTGGTCTTTAAGGTGCTACTGGAAGGAATTTTTTCAGTTGAAGAAGGTTAGTTATAGAGCTGGTTATCTTTTCAAAGCTATTTCTCATGCTAAATTCCAGTTTCTGGACTTTTCTTTTGCTGATTAGGAAGAAGAATTATTTACCAATTTAGCCATGAATCTTTCTAGTAAATAAAAATGCACTGCTGCTTTAACAGAATTCTGCTGCCTGTTTTAGGTTCCCATTTCCTGCTCTAGCAATTCTATGGGGCCATTCAGGATTCACTCATTTTTCTATTTCAGCAGTTTTAGACTTTATTAGCCACTGAAGTAACACTTTATTCCCCTGGAACTTGTTTGGCTTTTGGGCTGCAGCTTCAAATGTCAACCATTAGATCCCTCCCATTTTTCTTTTACTCTGTAATGTTGCAGACTCTCTTCTTGCAGCAACTGGCTTCAAGTTTCCTGTAAATCCAGCCCACCCCCAACAACAACAGCTGTGTTATTCTGAGTCCAATATCTGCCTTGTCATCCTTTCCTGTCTTTCTATACTGTGAATAACTAAGACCGTTTGCCGGGGGGGGGGGGAATCATCATAACGAATATTTAAAGATATTTTGTAAGTTTCAACTTTTAAAATTTAGCCAGGCACCTGCATCTTACTTTGGACCCACAGGAAGGTCTTTCCCTCTTGGTAGTCAGTTCTTCAATACTTGAGATCACTGTAGGAAATAATTCTGTGGCTGCAATCCTGTGTCACATATCTAGGAGTATACCCCACTGAACTCATGGGGACTTCTGAATATATGTGTATAGGATTACAGTGTAAAGGAATAAAAGTAAAAAAAAACAGGCGTTCCTGGACAACTTTACAGAAAATTTAAAGGTAAGTTGCTAGTTTTCCATCTATTTCATTTTAATTTGGAGCGGTGAGGGAGGGAGTGTAAGTGTTACACACACAACCCTAGCTAGCTATTCCCTCTTCCTGCCAGAGCTCCTTGTGCCCCACTCGAAGGTGTTCCTGAAGGACTGAGGATCCTCCAGAGCAATATTCCAGGGGCTATAGCTATAAAGATAAATCAGCCCCCAGTATATTTCACGTAGGCGCTTTGGATTCCAGAAAATGATTTTCAAGCCAAATAACACATGTGAACCTTTAGGTTATTGGAGGAGTATTTTCAGTTTGTGAAGCTCTGCTAGAGTTTACAAGCAGCTTTTTTCAATTCAAAGCATTTTTGCAGCTATGGTTTTCTTAATAGTTTCTCACAAAGTATGAGGCTACAGATTAAAGCTGAAGTTGATCTTAATCCTATGCTTGGCTCACGCTTTGATAGTTTCATTAATGTAGGAAAGATAGTGGATTTTCCCTGAATCTGAATTTACATCATTGGTTTGTCAGTCACCAGTTTTGTACTGTGGGACAAATGTCATGACTGATCAGTACTGATGTACCTTTTTCCTCTGCAGAGAACATAGAGTTTCAGTATTTTCCTTCTTTTTACAAGTCAATAATTTTATTTATTTATTACATTGATATCCCTCTTTTCTTCCAAGGACTGCAAGGTGACGCACGTTGTTCTCCCCCTTTCTATTTTAACCTCTTAACAACCCTATGATACAGATTAGTCTGGATTGCACCCTCTGACACCCTACATCAAATAGGGTGGTACTGAGATTTTTTTTGTCACAATCTTTCATTACCTTGGGGAAGCTCCGCCATTCCATGCCAAAACACGTCCTATGTTAGGAGCACATCAGCTGAAGATACTCCATTTGTGAGTGACTGTAGAACATCTGATTTTTTTTTCTTTTTATGTGATTGTTTATCCCCTTCTGAACCAAATCATTCTGAAAACCCAAAATCCAAAACTGAGTAGTATTATGTCTAAATAGGCTCAGGTCTCATTCACCTGCTTTAACCCTTCTACCATCTCTCTTCGGCGATCACTCATAGCTGAGTAAGATTGTCTTCCACAAACACGATTTTAACAATGAGTCTGTAAGTAACTGTGGAGGCCAATTCTG